ATTAAGTATGCACACACTGATGAGTTTCCTTTCTTTGGTATTGGTATATAGATCAATGTCTTTCTTATCTGTTGGCCACTGGGTTGCTCACTAGACTTAGTGGCATAGTTTGGTTAGATCTTTTACGCATTCTTCTTCTGTTACTTTCTGAAGATAATTTTTTTGAAAATAACTATTTCTGAGGACAATTCCATCAATTCCAGAAGCCTTCTGATTTGATAATGACTGCAGTGTTAAGCTAATCTGGTGTTCTAATGCTAGAAGTAAGTAGCAAATATCTTCCAATGCATCTTGGATGTTGACATCTTTACTCCTTCCACCTTTATGGGATTTATCAGTTACTATCTGTCCATTAGAAAACCTTTCATATACAAATTTCAGGTTGGAACAAATTCAAGAATGGAATCAAGATCTTTTGAAAGCCCTTGTTTTCTATGTTTGCTTTCATCTTTGATGTTTTTACAGGTATTGTAACATTGCTTTAGATCTCTTCTAAGATATCTGAAATTCTGTTCTTTCCTGAGATTTTTGTCTTTCATAGCTTTGGTTTCTCTTCTTTTTATTTATTTTTTGGCAATTTCCATGGTTTGTTCCAATATCTAGTTGCTTTCTTCCACTTTTAGGTCTTTGGCAGTCTCTTTTCACCTTCATCCTTAGCATTTGTATTTATTCCACAGCTCTGATTCCCTATCAAGGAAGTTCAAAACTTCAAAATGATTCCTGATGTTCTCCTTAAAAATGGTAGGCATTATGCCCAAGTTCATCTTGTAAAAACAGGTTGATTTTCTGCTGCTTGACCTTGGAACTTGCACATGGGTGGTTCCTGCTTTGTTCTTCAAGCAGCCCCTGACCATATCTTTTTCTTATAACTGAACTCTTTCACTTCCTTGTGCCAATCATGTCATCTGTTTCATTTCCATGTACTCCATTTGGTGCTGTCACTTATCTGACGACAGTGTTAGCAATGAAAAAATATTTGGATTAGCAGACAGTGCTGAGTCATTCTCTTTCTTCATTTGATTTCTTCAGCCATATAGTCCAACCACATTTTCGTCCATATTTCCAACTTTGGCTTTTTAGTTTCTAATGACAAGCAGCACATCTGTCAAATTCAAATTGAATGTGACCATAAAACTAGATGTTTCAATGGTACTTTTAAAAAAATCCTCAGCTCTTCCTCAGTAGCATACTGAGTGCCATCCAACCTCGGGCTCATCATCCTGTCCTGTATTGTCAATAACTTCATATTGGCTGTCCATGTGGTTTTCTTGGTAAAATGCAGAAGTGTGGTTTATCATTGTCTTCTTCCATACAGTATGAAATGATTATTGTTATTACTAAAAGAGTGGTCTGCCTCCAGTATCTTCTTATATCGCTGCTGTCCAACATAAGTGTTTGCTTACTTTAGCTGGGTAGCTGGGATAACTTTCATACTTTTGGTTTCATGACTTGGGTTTTTAATCCTGCTGGAATAATATACTTTTGACATATACTTCTGGTGTTTTTTGCTCATCATTCCTGACATTGGATGATAACGGATATTTGTGGAAGACAGGCTGTTTTGAATTATTTTAAGATAGGTTTCTCTATCTGGGCCTTTCAGTTACGTTGACATAACTCCCATTATCCTGATAACATGGCTAATGACTATAAATTGGTTGGTATGATAGATTTGGAAGATACCAGATTGGTGAAAACCACTTTAGGCACAGTAGGCAATTTATCAATAAGAAGTAGAAACAAAAAGGAATGGGAGCTTTTGTCCAGTGGTTATAATCTTGTTTTTATTCATATGTGAAATATTGAAGATACATGTGAAATCTAATATTCCAAAATGGCAAGGAATTGGGTTTGCATTATAATATTGCTGTACCATCTTGCTGATTTTGACTCGTCCACAACGATATCATTGCATCAAACCAAAGTCACTGAGTAAGCTTTCACAACATATTGTGGAACTGAATCTGAACCTCTGCAATTCTAGTTAAACACCCCAACCATTTTATCACATTTCATATGCATCTTGTTAAAAAAAATTGTTTACCAGACGCTTGAACATTTCCTGGTTCTTACAACTATGCCATTGTGATCTGGGCATTTCCCAACTGGCTTAGATTTCTGACAATTGCACATCTCCTGGTCACATGACCTTGATTTGTGAGCTTTTCTGCCAGTTTCCCACAAGCAAAGTCAGTGAGAAAGACCGCAGGAAGTTGGAAGTATGCACACACAAACAAATACACGCAAACAAAATAAATTAAGCTCCCCCAAAGTCCAACAAGCTTGCAAACACAGCAAAAAGCATGTGCAGTGGGGAAAAGTCCAAAGGTCCAAATGTCGTAGCAGGGTTGGTAACCAGTCCAGGTCCAGAGTAAAAAAACACAAGAATTCAAGGTGAGAGACAAGGCACACAAAGTCTAGGTCAATGGACAGCCTAAGTCAGGGGTGTCAAACTGCCGGCCCACAGGCCAGACTGGTCATACGGAAGCTGTGCCCACCCCATTGCCAGCAATGGCAAAACCATCCTGATACATTGCATGATGTCATGTGACACCATGAGTTTGACATGTCTGGTCTACGTTATCTCTAACAGAGAGGCTTAAGTACACTGCTCTTCTTAAATAGAAATAATCCTGGTATTGCTCATTTGGGAAGGCAAAGTTCCTTTCTGGTGAGGACCCTTGTAGAACACTTTTGCTCTGCTCTCCTCTCCACACAGTGAGTTCTTGAAGGGGGGGGATGGCAACTCAGATTCCTCATCTTCTAAAATCAGTGACAGTTGTGTCTCCTCATTACTCGGCAGCATAGCTTCCTCTCCCTGCAATTCCTGAATGGCTACACAACACAAGTTGATTATAATTTTGTACTGATCATAACTAATTACTTAAAATAGGGCCTGGTTCCAGGACAGAACTGTGGTCCAGGGATGCCAATGTATGGAGCAGTCTGTTCTTTCCAGCTCCAGAGGTCTGCCAAAATAAATCCATGGTTTGGTCAGTGACAGTGGCCAGGGAAAAAGGTGTGGGATCCAGTGGGATAGGAAGCAGCCTCAAGGTCCGTAGGGGACCTGGTTTGGTGGGGGGAAAGCAGGCCAATGGCCTGCAGGGAGCTCAAGGGATGAAAAGTGGGGCATAGGATGCCTTAGAGCAGGGGTCTGCAACCTTCACAACTTTAAGACTTGTGGACGTCTGGCTGAGGAATTCTGGAAGCTGAAGTCTACAAGTCTTAAAGTTGTCAAGGTTGCAGACTCCTGCCTTAGTATGGGAAAGGCCTTGAAAGGGCTGGAGCAAATGGGCCTATGCTAGGTCTCCCAGATGTCAGGTGTGAATAATTAGACCCACACCTGAAGAGTTTAAACCAGATACTTTAATGTTGTATTACCTATTTCATAGGAATCTTCTCAGACTGGCAGTTTGCCTCTGGGAAAGACTAGATAAAGTTCAACAACATTCAAGGGAAGGGGCTGGACCTTGCTCTCTTATGTCTACGTAAAGATTCTAGAGTAGACCATGGATGTCAAACTCAATCATGTCACGTGACGTATCGTGACTTTTTTGCCTTTGTGGACTGGGGTGGGCATGGCCTGTGTGTGATGTATCTGGCCCACGGGCCGCCAGTTTGACACCCGTGTTCTAGACTAACCCCCCACTTGACCCCTCCTCCTAACTGGGCCAGTGTCTCTCCAACACCAGGGCCTCTTCCACCCAAGGCATCCTGTTCTCCACTACATTAGAGAGGGGAGGGGTGGGAATCATTAAGAGGCAAATCATGTGGCAGCCTCCATTATAATCATGAGGTGCGAACTACCTATATGGTTACTTAGCTGTCTTGTGTTCTTTTCCCCCATAAAATATGGTTAGGCCTAGGATTATTGATTGATAGTTGATCAATCAATCAATAATCCTAGTCACATCAATGACATTGCACCAGTCATTTATGTCTGTAGCAGGCACAACCTTTTTGGATATGAGATTTTAAACATAGTGGTGAGCTAACAAGGAACAAGAACCAAAATAAATTCCTTTTACTCCTTTCTGCTTCAAACTTATGGTTGCCTAACTCAGACAACTAGTCTTGAATCATTTAGTCCTTCATTAACAAATTTCAGAAAGTGTATACAGATAACCTATGCAAATATTAAAATGCGTCAAGATAGTGAAATAAAGCAGCTACGGAGATGAGAAATAATCCATAAGTAAAGATCAGCAATTTATGGCTATAGGCAAAATGCTATATTGTAAGACACCAGCTATGTATTCTTGCTTTCTACCCTTACCATCACTTACTGGGATTGCATGTGTATGAACATGGATGGTGTCTTTCTTTATGCCCCAACTGCCTTTGAATAATGCTGATAGAACATCTCCCTTGGCATAGTATATCTTAAGTATTACAAGACAAATTGCACTCTGTATACAACATTTTATGGGAAGCATAACAATTTAACAAACGAACAAATAATACACCAACATTGCTTTGCACTGCAAGGATTTTACTGCTTGGGACTCTGGCTCATTTTGAATGGAACACTGTATTCTTGCTAGAGATTTCTAGATATACCTAAGTCCTTTCTTCACACAGTTACATTTGTATTGCAAAACCTAGATAGCTAGATGGCAATAAAATGACAGTTTTTCACCATGTATTAATCAGGATTTTTGCATCCTAGGTTTGCATTATGGAGATTTAAAATGACTTTCATATGTATAAGTATATGTATATATGCATGAAAGTAGTCATTTTAAATCTCCATACATGTATATATATTGAATGTTGAGTGTTGGGCAGAAAAAAGGCACAATACATCTTTGCTTGAAGGTCATTTAACTACTGAGTACTTGGCCCAATGGGTAGCATATGTTTAGGAGGTCTGTGGATGGAAATTATCTCAGGTTTTCTAAAACCATCGTAACCGAATACCTTTCAAGATAGGAATGAGTCAGCTTGTTAGAAAGACCTTCTACAGATAGGGGGAGAAACTCTCCTCTTTTTTTAAAAAAATGCTGTTCCTCCTTTCTCCACCACTCCGGTGGGGGGGGGGGAGGTGTGTAGGTGTGAATGTACACATACATTGCCAATCATGGAGGTCAGCATGGATTCAGGTAATTTCTTTTCAGCTGCATCTTCGGGAAAGTATCGGTGGAGGACAAAAACAAATCGTAGATCACGAACGATGAATGGAGGGGCGGTTTTTTTTTTTTTTTTAAAAAAAACCTACTTCGATTTTTTTTTATGTGTCTTGGTTGCAACAGTTACGCGGAGTTGCAAGCTTAGTTCGCCGAAGGAGATAGCATTGTAGCTGTAGGTAGTCAAGAAGGAGGCGATAAAGAGAAGGAGCTGGACGATCGCCCCGTTCTTTTTAAATAAATAAAAGTAAAGTGAAAGGCAAGAGAGGGTGGAGTACATGTGTGCACGAAGCCGATGCAGGCAGGGAGAGATTTGCAAGGTTACTTAAGCTTTGCGTGGCTCTCAACCGCAGTTGGCGTTTTGAGGGGAGAGTCAGAGGAGGGAGGAGAAAAATCAACCATCGGCCTCCCCCCCCCGCCTTTCTCTGGCAGCTCAGTCGCGGGGGAAGCCTCGAAGAAGGGGGCTGAAGGCCAAGGAGAGAACGGGAGCCCCCCTCCCCCTTCTATTCTGCCCCTTGGGCTCCATTGCCTCGCAGCCCAGAGCTAGGAGAATTCCCGGCTGAGCTTCTTTCTCTCTCGCCTTCTCTTCCCAGCTGACAACATGGCTGCGGCCGCTTCTGCTGCCCAAGACGAGCTGAGTAAGTGTGTCTGGGGGGGGGGTCCGGCGGCGGCGGGGGAATCTCGTTCGTGCGGGACACGGTGAAAAGAGGATGCTCCGGCCCTCGAGTTTGAACCCTTCTTTCTTTTTAGTGGGTCAGTTTTCCAAGCTGTGTGCGCCGGCCTTCCTGCCCTTCTGCCCCACCCCCGCCCTTGATGGGTGCTATAGGGAGACCTCGGAAACGGAGCTCGGAGGGCCGGGAGTCCTTTACAAAAAGAAAGGCGAGGAGAGCTGATGGGGGGGGGGGGGGAAACTGTTCATAGACGATGCAGGATCGGGGGGGGGGAGGGTGAGGAGGAGCCGGCCATTAGGCCTCAGTTGTTGCAGAGTCATATTAGGAAATGGGACAGTAAAAGCTTTAGGAGGATGGGAAAGGGGGACGACCCAGTCCTCCAAATTAGCCTCTTCGGTCACTGATAACACACACACACACACACACACATTCTTCCTCTCCCCCCCCCTTTTAAAGATATGTGGGTACGGGCGCGAACGTCCTTGCGAGAAGGGGGACGTGATTTGCCCAAGTTTGCTCTACTGTCCTGAGGAAAGTAATCTATTTCCCCCCCCCCTTTCATTCCAGATTTCATTCCTCCTCTCCAAAATCTGTTCCTGAATCTGGTGGAAAAAGTGCAAGGCCCGTCGTGACTTTGCTTTCCCCGGGGGATTAGAATCCGGCTTTGGGGAAATCTTGCGGGGTGGTGGGGTGTTTTTTTGTTTTGTTTTTTTGAGTTGGAGGGAGGGGGAAGAGGAGAGCCCCTCCACTTCGTACAGGGCCCAATTTGGCGAGGCGGCCGGTCTTTCCGAGGTGCACCCCCGACCCCGCCCGCAGGGCAAAGAAGGAAGAGGGTGTTGCAAGTTCAAGAGGGTCCTTGGCCGCTTCAGGACGGATTTTGCCGGCTCCGTCTCGCCATCCCTCTTGGCCTTTCGAAATGTGGTGCTCCCGCTCCCACTTCCCATTCCACATCTAAGGCATTGAGGCCTCGCTCGGTGAGGCGTGGTATGGCCGGGAAATGCTTCTTTGTGACAGGAAATGACTATAGTCTTTGCCACTGAGGCAAGCTGGGTGTGCGTATGCATGCATGAATTCATATGCATACTACATATGTGTGCACTCACATATAGGAGTGTGTGTGTGTAACATACCCATACTATTAGTTTAGTTTATTGATTAGCCCATAGGCCATATCAAAATACAGAGTTCTAAACACAAATTAATAAAATCCTATAAAAACAATTTAAAATGAAATTGAAGTAAAATTAGAGTACCACAATAATTTAAAATAAGAGAAAATTATATTTCAGTATCACCCCTACAGTCTACCCCAAATCGTTCCATGTACTGTGCTGTGTTAAATGTTTTCAGATTCCGGCTGCACATAAGGTATGTTGTTTTAATATGGAGTTCCCAATAAATGAACCAAGGTACTTGTCTGTCACCCTCTTATGCAAAAAACAAGCATATAGTATGTGAGCCAAGTCTTCTACCTCTAGCGCTAGGCAAATGCAGATACGTCCACCATATGGTATAATATACACATATGAGTATAGTATCAAAAATATACTAATATGTATATGTTACACAATATATCAAAGTATCAAAAATATGCAGTTATTTATTGCCTATATATCCCATAGAGTTCAAGGATAGGCTTATTAGCATACTAGGCCCCTTTCCTCAATTTTATACCTACAACACAACCCTGTGAAGGAGGCTAGATTGGGAGTGGCTCATATTCATTTGTGTTCACAAGTACTTCTAATATGTAGGGAAGAGGTACTAATGAAATTATAAGATTATGCAATAGTTTAGGAGAAAGTTCCATTGCACTTGATGGAATTAAATGTTTTTGGATGAGGAACAGTTGAACTTTAATTGCAGTGTCTTTGATGCTTGGATAAGGCATCTCAGTAATGTAATAAAAGTTTTTATTGCTGCTTCTTTATTTGGAATAAATATTATCCGATCTTGAGTAATCCTTTAAAGTTGCATGATTTTGCACCATGCCTGAACAAAGAATGTTGAAAAATTTAGTGATCTGTATGAATGCTTGACAGTAGCTTTTTCAAATCTGTTGGCTATGATTCCTAGTCAAAATCTATTCTGATTTGGAATTGTGGACATTGTAGTCCAGGCTGCCCCAGTCCTTTGGGCACCAAGGCCTGGTTCTGTGGAGAAAAATTTTTTCTGTGGTTTTGCGTGGATGGAACTTCACTTATTTAGGCAGCTGGGGGTGGATGGGTTCGGGACCCTTGTTGTAATCCATTAGGGAGGAATCAGGAAGACTGGTTTGGAGAACATGTAAGAGAACATCTTTGTCTCCAGAATTGTTGACAAAAACCCCACTTTTTTCCTGTCATTTAATTAGTTTAAGCAAGTGTTTAAAAATCAACATCTATTAGCCTATACTAATAAAGGATTCTAATACTGTAAAAGTATTATGGCTGTGCAAAACAGTTTTTATCTAGCCCCATCCATATAGGCTTGTGCAACTAAGTTAGTACTTTGCAAGACATCAGATTACATCAAGGACCAACTGTAAAACTAAGATTCAATCTGCCAAGCCAGTAAGAACATCATGTCAGAGCCTGCTCCCAGTTCCTTCACACACAGGAGGCTGTCATTTTGGCTTCTGATCCTCACGTTGTATAACTTACTTGTGGAGCTTCATATACTTTGGAAGGTGATTAAAAATACGTTTTGCCATGCTTTCAGTTTGAGTTACCTTTGTATTATTATGGTTTGTCCCACAGTTAGCCAGCTGTTCAGACTGGATTTGACATTTTTATCCACTTTCCCAAGGATCTGGGATAGGCAGATGTGTTATTATTATTACACTGTTATATTCTTTCCAACATTATGCACTGGGCCAGGTTACAAAAACTGCAAATAAATAAAGAGAGCGAGCGCTGGGGAGAGTACTATAATCATAGAAACAATCTTGATAATAAATATATTTTAACAATACTAAAATAGTCTTATGTTAATGATAAATAAATCTGATCTTTAAAAATAAGGAGTTAATGAATCAAGCCAGACTGTGCTATAGCGGTCAAAAAAAACCAACACAGCCCTAGGCTGCATTAACAAAGGGACAGAATCGAGATCACATGAAGTGTTAATACAGGTAGTCCTCGACTTAGGACCATAATTGAGCCCAAAATTTCTAATGCTAAGTGAGATATTTGTTAAGGAAATTTTGCCCCATTTTACTACCTTTCTTGCCACATTTGTTAAGTGCAGTTAATCGCTGCAGTTAAGTTAGTAACATGGTTGTAAAATGAACCTGGTTTTCCCATTGATTTTGCTTGTCAAAAAGTTGCAAAAGGTGATCACATGACTCTGGGACACCGCAGTTGTCATAAATATGAGCCAGTTGCCAAACATCTGAATTTTGATCACGTGACGATGGGGTGCTGCAACTGTCATGTGGAAAACAGTCATAAGTCACTTTTTCAGTGCCATTGTAACTTTGAACAGTCACTAAACAAACTTGTAAGTTGAGGACTACCTGTACCACTTTATAATGCCTTGGTAAGAACACACTTGGAACATTGCATCCAGTTTTGGTCACCACAATGTAAAAAAGATGTTGAGACTCTAAAAAAGAATGCAGAGAAAGATTATTAGGGGACTGGAGGCTAACACGTATAAATAACGGTTGCTGGAATTGGGTATGTCTGGTTTAATGAAAAGAAGGACTAGGGGTGACATGATAGCAGTCTTCCAATGTCTAAGGAACTGCTACAAAGAAGAAGTGGATCAGCCTGTTTTCCAAAGCACTTGAAGGCCGGACAAAAAGCAATGGATGGAAACTAATCAAGGAGAGAACCAACCTAGGACTAAGGTGAAATTTCCTGACAGTCAGAACAATTAATCAGTGGAATGACTTGCCTCCAGAAGTTGTGAATGCTCATCACTGGAGGTTTTTAAGAAGAGATTGAACAACCATTTGTCTGAAATGGTATAGGGTTTCCTGCTTGAGCAGGGGGTTGGACTAGAAGATCTCCAAGATCCCTTCCAACTCTGTTATTATGTTATTCTGTTTGAAATTTTTCTCTACACCAGTGTTAAAAATATTTGTGCATATAAGATAGATGATGAATATGATGCCACCAGAACAATCATATTCTAGGAAACTTGCAGTAAGGTCATTAGTAAAACCAATTAAGAACTAAACCACTGTTTAACGGTGAACTTGCTGGTATGATGTTGCTGTTTGAATTGTTTGCTGTTAGTTATAGATCAGTTTTTTTTCATTTTAGATCAACTTGAGCGTGTATTCTTGCGTCTTGGCCATGCAGAAACAGATGAGCAATTACAGAATATTATATCCAAATTCCTTCCCCCTGTTCTTTTAAAGCTTTCCAGCACACAAGAAGGAGTACGTAAAAAGGTATGAATATTATTGTATGCTGAAGTCGGTCAAACACAAAGTGCTTAAAAATCCTCCCATGTTGGTTTTATATTAGATAGAGTGTCCTTTGAGATGAATTTAACTCATGGTCACTTGATGAAAACATGTAATTTTCAGTACAAAGGTGGCTGCTATTGTCTTCCATCCAGGGTGCATTTTCAGCTGCTCATTCTAATCTAGTGTTTGTGTGATGGTCTTGTACACAAGTACTAACCAGATCAATCTTGTTTGGATGTTATGTTTCGCTCAAGCTGGAAGCTGAATATCATAATATATTCCCTGAAGTCATTGAAAATATTGTTACCTCATAGTAATTTTTCACGTTCAGTCCAAATAATATAGTCACTTGGTTCTTTTTCTCTGTGAAAGGTCAAATGGAACAACATATAGGGCATTTGATAATACAGATGTTTTTATTTATTATATTCCACAGTTGGGAAATGAAACCTAGATCAATAAAATGAAGGAGTTTTTTTTTTTTTTTTTAGGTTATGGAATTGCTAGTTCACCTGAACAAACGAATCAAAAGTCGTCCAAAAATCCAACTTCCAGTGGAGACTTTATTAGTCCAATATCAAGATCCTTCTGCAGTCTCCTTTGTTACAGTAAGTCTTTTTTTTTTTTTGAGAATTTTACTCATGAATTCTAAGATTATGATTATCTTTGCACATTGTGCTTAAGTATAAGAGCTGGTTATCTCCTGCCTAGGTATTATTTGTCCTGCTTTTGAATAATAAACCTACGGTATAAACAGCAGATAAAGAGAAGGCTGGTTTGTTGGCTTGTAGCTGCTGGGAAGTGCTTTCCTAAATGTAACCCTTGAACACTTCAACTGTTTTAATGAATATTTATATGAAACTACACCCAGTTGTCATATTTAAAGAGTCCGTTGAAATGGATATGATTAACAATTAGGAAATGTTCTGGTTAACAGGTTGATGTCAATGCTCTGTCTTTGCAGTTTAAGTTTACACAAAACATATGACAACAAAGACATTGTGGCTTTACTGAGAATTGGTAGAGTTAAACAGTAATGTTAGGATTATAGATTGCCACCACACTAACCTGGTTCATGCATGCTAAATTATAATTTGTATAAATTTGGTGTAATGTATGTGAACTGCACTATTATCCACTTGGTTCACACATCATCCTACGCCACGGGTGTCAAACTTGCAATGTCACCTGACGTGTCGTTTCACATCGCAACTTTTTCCCCATTGCCGGCAGTGGGGTGGGTGCGGTTTTAGTGTGATGCATCCAGCCCATGGGCCGGCAGTTTGACACCCCTGCTCTAAGCCATGGATAATTATATAAAAGCGGGTTGAACTGCCCCAAGGTCTTTACCACTGAAAATCAGTTTTTCTCAAGTTGCACAGGAAATATATACATATTAAGATAGAGACGTATGCAGATAGTGTAAATTTTAGTGGACGTTTAGGTGAGGATAATCCTTTAGTACATGTTTTTAGATTTATCATCTGATCCATTTCAATGACAAAGTCCTTATTCCTTTTCCTTTTTAAAAAATATCTAGGTAAAGTTTTAACACGCTAGTGTAGTATGTAGTTACAAATGCTTGTACATGAACTGAAATACACATTTTGACCAGTTAATAACAGCTGCTTTTAGGTGGCACTAGAACTTTCTCAGATAATTGCTAAGATGAGGTGTCTTGATTTAATGGTCCACATCAATAAGGCCATAATTGGTTGGAGTCAGAAACCTGGGGATAATGCAATCGCTACAATGCAGGTATAAGAGGCTCCTAGTATGAGGAAGTTTTTTTATTGTACACGCGTTCCCCATGTCAACTGTAAAAAAAAAAAATCAGACTGAGTCTGGTAGCACATTTTCTCAGTAACACATTTAATTGAAAGAAATAAGTTTTGGTGAGCTGCCGTTTATGCTTTTTAATAAAACTCCTACCATATCAATAGTATTTCTCAAAGTTATCAAAGTAATCGAGGTTGTGGAATTTTTGGGTGAGCTGGACTACTTGAACAATGTAAACATTTCAGTGGTATTTATCAATCATTTTTTAGTCATAAGTTTCTTAAAATTTGTGGATATTGTACTGTAGAGCTGTTTTTTGTAGTGGTTCTTTTCAGACATATCTTGCATTTTACAGAATTTTACAATAATATATGTTAAGATGGGTTACCCTCGTTTGCCTGTGGAAAAGCAATGTGAACTGGCACCCACTCTCCTTACTGCAATGGAAGGAAAACCTCAACCCCAACAAGACAGGTATAATATTCTGATATTATAAGCTTTCATTGCCTTTTTTTCTTTAAAGTCATTCCTTTTAATAAATTAATCTTTAAAGACTGCAAATACTGTCCGGAGAAATTATGACATAGTGTCCTTCTCTTACTTTGTGTCAGCATGACAAGGCAAATTCCACAGGGAGACGACTAGACTACTACTTATTGAGATAGGCCAGGGGTAGGCAACCCAAAACACTCAAAGAGCCACTTGGACACGTTTCCCACTGAAAACAAAACACTGGGAGCCGCAAAACCCTTTTGATATCTAAAATGAAAATAACACTGCATATATCCTTTTTTACCTTTAATATATGTGTGTGTGTTTGCGTGTGTGTGTGTGTGTATAAAATAAAGGTAAAAAAAGGATATATGCAGCGTTATTTTCATTTTAGATGTCAAAAGGGTCTCTCTCTGTCACTTTCCTCTCTCTTTCTCTCTTTCTCTTTCCTCTAATTTACTCTCTCTTTCTCTGTCTCTCTTTCTTTCCTCTTTCCTTTCTTTCTCTTCTTTCTTTCCTCTTTCCTCTCTTTCCCTTCTCTTTCTCTTCTCAATCTTTTTTCTTTCCTCTTTTTTCTCTTTCCTCTCCCCCTCTTTCTCTTCTTTATCTCTCTTTCCTCTCTCTTTCTCTCTCTCTTTCCCCTTTCTCTCTTTCCTCTCTCCTCTCTTTCTCTTTCCTCTCTTTCCTCTAACTTTATCTTTCCTCTCTTTCTCTTCTTTCTCTTTCCTCTCTTTTTCCTCTCTTTCTCTTTCCTTTCTCTTATTTCTCTTTCTTTCTTTTCACTTTCTCTTTCCTCTCTTTCCCTTTTCTCAATCTTTTTTCTCTTTCCTCTTTTTCTCTTTCTTCTCCCCCTCTTTCTTTCTCTCTTTCCTCACCCTCTTTCTGTCTCTCCCTCTTTCTTCTTTTTCTCTTTCCTCTCCCCCTCTCTTTCCTCTCTTTCTCTTTCCTCTTTCTCTCCTCTCTTTCCTCTCTCTTTCTCTTTCCTCTCTCTTTCTCTCTCTTTCTCTTTCTTTCCCTCTCCCTCTCCCTCCAGGTGAAGAGAGAGAGAGAGCAAAAGGCAGATGGGGAGGAGAAGCAGGATGGGAGGCAGCAGCTCCCAACCACCACTACCACCCCGTCGCATCCTCAGCTAAACTGACACCTGACTGCCACCCTGCCCGGGGAGACATGTGGCCGGCTCAGCTTCCTGGGGAGCGCTGCCCCTGCCGGCCGCCGGCCCAGCCATGACTGCCGCCCGGCCTGGGGAGACATGTGGCCGGCTTGGCTTCCCGGGGTGTGATGCCCTTGCTGGCCGCCGCACCAGCCATGACTGCCGCCCAGCCCGGGGTGACATGTGGCTGGCTTGGCTGCCCAAGGAGCGGCCTGGGGATGGCCCAGGAAGCGATGCCCCAGCTGAGACTGCCGCCTGGAACAAGTAAGCCGGGAGGGCACCACCTGCCCTGCGGCCGCTTCACATCAGTGCTCCCTGGACTCAGAGCCCCCTCCCTCCCCCCGTCACTGACCCTCTGTCTCCGGCTCTGCTGCTGCTTGGCCAACGGTTGCGCCGGCTGGGCATCGGAGGGGCTGCTCTCCCTTGGGGCCGCACTTTGTGGAAGGACTGGCTCGCTCAGCGGAGGCTCGGGTGGGCTGCTCCCAGAGGGGATCTTGGGGCTTCCCCGCACGGCTCCCCAGCCACGTGCACTTCAGATGGGGCCAGCCCGGGAAAGGGACTTCCTGGCCGCCCTTCTCCCACGGGGTGGGGCACCTGGGCGCAGGGCCAATCAGGAGCCCTGCGAAGGGGCAAGTCCACATGAGAGAGAGAGAGAGAGAGAGAGAGAGAAAGTGCCTCTCTCTTTCCTTTCTCTCTCTGAAAATGGCAGGGGGGTCTCCGGAGCCGCAGGGGATGGCTCCGGAGCCGCGGGTTGCCGACCCGTGAGATAGGCTATAATAATAATAAAAACTTGCCCGTCTAATTGAGCTGAACCTCCATTCCTTAAATCCAAATGAATCAGGGATTTGTTTCAGCCATCTTTCCTAGGCAACGCTTGTATTTTAAATATCTTGCTTTTTTGCCATCCAACGTTTTGAAATACAGATAAATCTTAATTTTTGGATTTTAATTCTTGGATCCAACCTACTTTATGTTTAAAGATTCAGTTTAACTTATCTCAGTGCAATTTGAATGATACAGTTCCATTTGAAATTAGCTACTAAATATGAAAGAAAAGAAAGTGGTTTCATGAAAACCATGAAGTTATGTTGTCTTTCTTGTCTGCAATGCCCAGTTAAATCTTTTAAAAATGCAAATAGCAATAAGTGAAAACGATTATGAATTTTAGACAGATTCTTACATATAATTGCAATATATACAATTGTTTTGCAGCCTAATGCATCTTCTAATACCAACACTTTTTAACATGAAATATCCTGCTGAACCTCTGAAAGCAGCTTCTCCATTTAATCTTGCTGAAAAACCAAAGACTGTACAACTGCTATTGGATTTTATGTTGGATGTTCTCCTTATGCCTTATGGGTAAGTAATGATGAAGTTTATCAGGTGATAGGTACTACTAGAATTAGTATGAGAGAGGGAAGACCTCATTTTTAAAGTGATATTCTGCCATTCTCTAGATCCGTGGTGGTGAACCTATGGCACGGGGGCCACAGGTGGCACGCAGAGCCCTCTATGTGGGCACGCGCACCGTCACTCCAGTCCTAGGCCTTCAGCTGGGATTTATAAAACCTTTTCGCTTTAGTCCTCCACTGCCATGTGGAAAAAAAAGGTTCAGTCAATCAATCAATTTCAGCTTCTCGTGGGAAAAAAAAAGATCTTGCAAAGTTGGGATTGATTGATTGAACTTTTTAGTCCCACCCAGTCTGCCATTACAATCACAGCCAAACCCACCCAATGGGCCACACCCACCCGGCACTTGATGATACATAAATGGATTTTGGGTTTCAGTTTGCTCACTCAGTCTCTAAAAGGTTCGCCATCACTGCTCTAGATGGTATTTTGTTTTTATTGTTTTTAATGAAAATCATATTTTTGCCTCAGATCATTTAAAAGTCCATAGGCAGGTGAGTGAGTGCAGATTGTAAAGGTACTATAATCACAGGGAAATTGCTAGAAGCATTGAGTTTCTTACCCAGATATTTGTTAGCTTTTGAGCAGGATTCACATATCACATTAAATTCTAATGTGGTTTGTTTGGTTTTGGCTTACTTTCTCATCCTTCATTGAGGGAAAGCTTGTGTAATGCAAAATTACTGTGATTGACATGATTGACAAGCCATTGATAGATAGTCCTTGACTTAATAATTAAATCTCATGCCTAAACTAAAACAAAAATTAAAATCTTTGCAAATGCTTCATTAATGTACAAATGATCCAGCAGTCTTGTAAACGTCCTCAAATCTTAGGTGTCAGCAGAATGTTTGCTATGTATTAAGGCGCACAAATTTAATTGACAAAAATTAATACTGATCAAATTAACAGTCTAATTAAAACCTATTCTGTCTAGATGCTTTTATCTGTCTTTGGAAATAGATTCTATTATACATGTGTCCTGATTAACTAAATGTGATTATTTATATAATTTTTAAAATTGTTATGTTTTGTTATATATATTTTTGTTTCTATAACTGAGATTATGGCTGGATTTTTCAGATTGACATAATTTAAGCTGTGCAGAGCTCACCATTTCTAATAGAGAATTTTATAAACTTTCCCTCCTCTTCTTCTAGATATGTATTAAATGAATCCCAGAGTCGCCAAGCTGTTCCAGGGGGACAGGGTTCCTCTTCATCAAGTAGTTCTGGAGGATCTGGGATCCCCCAGCCTCCTCCGGGAATGAGCTTTTATGCAGCTAAGCGGGTTATTGGAGACAGTCCATGGACACCTGAGCAGCTGGAACAGGTAAAAGCCAAATAATTATACCTAATGGGTGGGGGTGGGAGTAGCTAAATTATAATAAGTTGCCAAACATAATGTATATTATCTTGTGGACTTTTATTTGTCCCTAGCTGTTTTCATGCATACACTAATTAAGTTATTTATAATGAAATCCATCTTTCTTGATTGGACTGTTAACTGTAAATAAAATACAGAATATAAAACAAAAAGTAAAAAAAAGCAGCAAAACTGAGTAGCATCAGCATATAATGGTACTCCATTCCAAAACTGAACAATGTAATTTTATGTACATGATAAACAGCATGGGGACAAGATGGAAACCTATGGATCTTTATGAGTCATCTACCTGTGAGTTGACTAATAATTTCCTGATGCTATTATTCTGGCTATAATCTGACATGAAGAGCCAAAATCACTGCAGCACACCTTCTCAGTGGCCAGTTCCAACAGATGACCTAAAATTATTGAGAAATCCAGGAGAACTAGCAGAATATAAATGTCCCAATTTGCTTCATAGCGTAGGTCATTCGGCAGCGTTCATCTAGTGCAGTGGTTCTCAACCTGTGGGTCGGGACCCCATTTGGGGTCGAACGACCATTTCACGGGGGTCGCCAAACAAGGCTGTCCGCCATTTTTCCCTCTTTGGCCATGCCCCTGGCACCCGGTAATGTATAAGTGGTTGGGGGTCACCACAACATGGGGAACTGTATTATGGGGTCGCGGCATTAGAAAGGTTGAGAACCACTGATAGTGTTATCCATGTGTGTTTGGAATTGGAAAGACTACCACCTTTTCAGTCATCTTTCTTGGAAATGGAATTTTTACTTTTCTGTGTGATTAGATAATACAACTGTTGACTCTCACTGGGCAAGCACTGTCTTCCATATAGATTTTGCTGTGAAAGAAAAAAAAATGTAAAATGTTTGCTCATCTGATCATTCAGAACAGCACCACCACCAAATTTAACATTAGCTGTTGTATTTTTATGGGGATGAGAGGTATTTTGGAGGGTATCTTTTTAAACTTTCTAAACCACTTCGGTGGGAAGGTAACAGCATTCTGTGTGCGTATAGTCATATATTGGCGTATAGCCATGCTGTCATGGTTCCAACTAATGAAACACTTCAAAGACATTCCAGGCAATGCTTACTCTAAAAGCCTTTATTAACAGTGTAACAGATTGATGGCACTTCAGATGGATGGATGCCAGAATCTGAATTTCTCTTGCTTGGTCTAGCTTTTCTTGCTAAACCCCTCCCTTATTTTGAAGTCATAAGTCACATCTTCCAATTAGCCCCTTCCAGGCTTTCCTTATAAATCTCCTCTCTTTCTCTGTCATCTGAATTAACTCTAAAAATACCAGACAGTTCTATATATTTTGTCAAAGCAGTAATATCCTATATTAACAGCATTGACAAATGCTGGCTACATGACCAGAGAAAGGGTCATCAGACAATGCTGGTTCCCTCAGCTAAGAAACAGAGATGAGCACGCTAGAGTCAACATAGGGATAGGGGAAACCTTTACTTTTACCTTTAAATGACTGAAATTTCTGACCTTTCACAAATGGTTGGATCAGAATTCGCATTATGGAACTCTATTGCTTAGATCAGGGGTCTTCAAACTTGGCCCTTTTATGACTTGTTGACTTCAACTCCCAGAATTTCTCAGCCAGCCATAAAAGGGCCAAGTTTGAAGACCCCTGGCTTAGATTGACTGGTGGTGTTGGGAATTACCCTTTTGTAATGTATTGAGCCTCATAATTTCCCCGTCTCTGCTTTAAGGCAAAGCCTTTTGTTATTTCTCTATCCAGTTCTACCACTCTAGAACTACAATAAAAGTATACTTTTTATAGACAATGCCTGTGATTGTACTGAACAACTTCTTCTTCTTTTTTTCTGCTTTGTTGGGCAGTGTAAATTGGGTATAGTAAAGTTCATTGAAGCTGAGCAGGTGCCTGAACTTGAAGCTGTCATACATTTGGTTATTGCCTCTAGTGATACACGGCACAGTGTAGCCACTGCAGCAGATCTTGAACTCAAAAGCAAGCAAAGGTAATGGGTTATAATGTGAAGATTTTTTAAAAAACAAAAGTGATGGTTTACTATGAATTTAAAAAATAAGGTTGGTTTTGTTTAATGCAAAATTACTTTTTTATCACAATGGCATACATTAGGAATTGCATTTGATAAGATGTAGACATCTCTACGTTTGACTACAATGATAGCAGCCCTTCATTTATTCTTAAAAAAACTGCTTTTTAGCAGGTAATTATGATCATTAGACAGATTTCATGCATATGGCCACGTAGCTTCTAGTAGTTTGGGGAATCTTTAAAAGACCAGTGTTTACATGAATATTAATCTTTAGCAATTTTTCATTTTATATGAAACAAAGTCTTTAAGTAGTGTAGTGATTTTACTTAATCACATTGTAGGGTTTCAGAATTGGATATGTCTAAACAGGTACAGCATTAATTTAATGCTGTTCTTAGTATTTTATGAAATCATTGAAGATATAAGCTAGGAAAGACCTAAATTACTAATTCCTGCAAATTCCTGGTAACTAGTGGTGCTTTATAAGAGTACAGGAGTGTTTCCTGGTATGGTGATTAAAATAAAAATGGATTTTAAAGATGAAGTGAGAACAAAAACATTGTAAGGTACAGATATTTTTTAAAAAGTTAATTCTGAGATCCAATCACATGTTATTTTCAAAAGAAGCAAATTGAACAGCAGTTGCTGCTAATTCCAATACAGATAGTCCTCACTTAATGTCCATTCATTTAGCGACTGAAGTTTGACAGTGCTGAATGAAGGGGTTAATGACTAGCCCTTGAAGTTCCTTCCATTGCAGTTTCCCTGCAGTCACATGAGCAAATTTTGGCCCCATGTTTTGCCAAGGCTGCCTGTTGTTTGCTGCCAGGAGCTTCTGTTTTCTAGTCCTGTTCCCCCCACCCTCAATATCTTCTGAAATGCATGCCAATATGTGTACTAGCTGGAGCCTCCTTTCATATTGCCTTTTGCACCAGTTCGGCTAGGGTTTCACTTATGCCCTGACCAAGGCCTCCATTAATGCAGTTAGCCAGGGCTTCTGATTTATGTTTCAGCCAGGGCTTCCATCCACATGCCAGGCAAGGCCTCTATTTGTGCTCCATCCAGGGTCTTATTTTGTGACAGAAGCTCGGCATGTGAAAGAAAGCCCCAGTTGCGTGCCATAATTTTAGCCAGATCCTCCTTTTGCATTGGCACAAAAGAAGGAAGGAAAGAAGAAAGCTGCACTGACACAGCAGAAAGTGGTGTGAAACAAGGTCCTAGCTGGTACAGTTGTGGTGTGGGGGGTGTAGATATGGCAGGCAGGGCTGGGGTGGTGGGGACAGCTGATGGTAGCAAAAAGCAGGTGGCCAAATGAGTCCCAAAGGTGCTTTTCCAAAAGGCAACTGGACTTTCTTGGTATTTTCTTTGAAAATGTTTTGCTTCTCATGCAAGAAGCTTCTTCAGTTCTGAAGAACTTCTTGGAGGAGAAGTGAAATGTTTTCAAGGGAAAAAGCCAAGAAAGTCAATTGCCTTTTGGAGAAGCACTTTTAGGACAACCATAACCTGGACGATTGAGAATCTCCATAGACATGCTTAACTGAGACCCAGTAGGTTTTCATTTGGGGGACTCAATTACTGAAAATATAAAATATGGGAGGAAAAAAAAGAATGTTGGCAATCAATTTGATTTTTTAGTAAATTCCTTCTCCCTCCCTTTCTTCCTTAGTTTAATTGACTGGAATAACCCAGCCATCATCAACAAGCTGTACAAAGTATACCTTGGGGATATACCACTAAAAACTAAGGAGGTAAGAATTGCTTATCCAAATCTGGGTTCCTTCTCATTTTCTAGTTTTGCAGTTTAGGTGTCATTGGGTATTACATATTGTATAATATGGATTATTTGCTGTTGTAGTGAATATCATTTTAAGAGTTACATTCACATTTTTCCTGCTCTTTCGTTAACCTAGAAGTAAAGGAAGAAAAATGTTTTCTAGAAAAAAGAGCTGCTGTTCCTTATTCCAGGCAACAGGGTATAGGTTGAGTTATAACTGTAATGGATGCCCCCATTATGTTTGTAAGTTGTGACAGTCATAAAGTGGCTATTTTACTGGTTGCAAACAATCATAAATTCAAGCTGGTTGCTGAGTGGCCAAAATGCAGGCATGGGACTTGGGGGGGGGGAGAGGGCCCTCACCATTAGAACTTTGAACCTTGGTCATAAGTACCTCTCAGGGAGGTCCACATCGTGATTTTGAACAGTTGCTAAGCAACCAGTCATAAGCTGAGAACAACCTGCATCTTAAAATAAAACAAACCACGATAAAACTAATTTATACTTAAAGCAGAAAGATAAAATTTGAGTCCAAACTAAGATCCAATAGAAGAAAAGAATACTATGAGTTGTTTTTGAAACTTAATGTTTCTGAGAGTTTTATTGCCTCAGTGCTACAGTGGAAAAGGCTATATACCTATCTTGACCACATTATTGGTAGACATCCATATTTCTTTAAGATTCTTAATGTGCCCACTGGCTCCAAAATGGATCCAAGATTCTTATCCTGCATCAATACTTCCACTGAAAACTTGTCTCTTCCACTACAAAATTGAAATATTATAGGCAGCCCTTTTTATCTGTTCTCAATGCATGCCTAAAGATTTTCATCTGTGTTTGGTCCTTTTTTTTTTTTGTTACAGGGGTATATATGCAATACAGCTTGGTTATATTGCATTAGGCTAGGCTGTACACGGTTTGTCATGGGAGCTGGCCTTGAGTGATATATTCAGCTGGTGGTGGCCTGTTTGTATCATATTGCTTATACTGACTCAATGCAACTCTTTCATGATCTTAGTGGAGGGACATTTTAATACTGCAGGTGAATGTTAGTTCTGCCACGGATATAGTTTATGCTTACCTTTCAGTCACCCTGCTTGGTATTAGTACTGCCTCCAGAGAGCTGAATGCAATATATTGCACCGATGGATATTAGTGCTGCCTTCAGATTGTTTGTAGAGATTAGGGCCAGGTACAAATCATCTGCAGGCGGAGTAATATCCAGAGATGCAGTAAGGTGGACCCTCCAGCAAGATTATTGAATAGCCATGCAAAGCAGAAGAGTCCCAAAAGCCATATATTAAAAGAGGGCAGTTCCCTCCATTAATCACTGAGAATGGCTCAAAAGCTAGCTATTGCAAAGAAGCTGCTTGGAGCCTTGCAGCTGGACTAACTCAGAGATCTTTTATAAATGAACAGTGAAAAAGAGAAATCCAGCTATATTGTGCAGATGAAGACAATGGTTATAGGTTTTGGAACCTAATCCTCCAGTTCCCATAAATGGGAACTCATCTCATTATTTCAGGTTTTGTTGTCCAGTTTTATGCTAGATCAGAACCTCTACAAATAATGAGGGTTGTCTATAATTCTAACACTTGGAAAAGATGCAGATGGTTGAAGGCATTTCAGATAAATGCTTTCTTCACGCTTCCAAGCATCGTTTGGAGATCAAACTCAAAGTGTTGGATAACCTGGATGTATAGTTTCTCATCTTGAATAATTGCCCTGTCATATTGGTAGCAGATCTTGACTTTCTTCGAATGTATTTGTAGTTCTCCACTGGGTGCAGTGTAGGGCACCACTGGATGCACTTACAGGGACTCAATGGCATATTTTACTGCCTAATAACTGGAGCTATCTTAACTGTCTCCTTGGTTCCATGGTGCACAGTTCGGGAACTGCTAGGGGCAGTCTGAACCAAGAACATTTGGGAACCTCCGGGGTATACTGAGTTATATCTTATTTTGTACTAATCTCAGTACTTTTTCATTTTTTTATAACTTATACAGTTCCAGTACTTTCAAATATTGTGGTTATATGTATATTGTCAGCCTGGTCAATGACCATAATAAAGACTTGATATGTACACTGTGATTGCTTTCCTGAGTGATTTAGGTTTTTTTCTAGTCACTTTATGTTTTGAAATATTCATTTGTTTATAACAGGGAGCTGTTCTGAAACCAGAACTGAAACGTGATCCTGTCAGTACTCGGGTGAAGTTAAAGATTGTCCCTCATCTTTTGCGTTCCAGGCAAGCTGCAGAAACATTTCCTGCAAATATTCAGGTACCTTTTTAAAAATCTGTCTCATGGCAGTATATTTCTTAGTTAATTCAGTATTTAACAATGTACTTGTAAAGCATTTCCCTACATGAGGGGTGAGTATTCTGCAGTTCATGCACACAGATAAACCTTGCTTACTAACTGTTTTATTCAGTAATGTTTGAAGTTAGGTGCAAAAAACCCCACCCCAGCTTGGCTACCAATCCTCATTTATCCTTAACAGTCACATGATTGCCATTTGCATGCTTTCCAATGGGCTTGTGACCAGCAGAGTTAAGGAAGAACATAGAATTAAAGTCCTAAATTGCAGTCACACAGTGATTTGCTTAACAACCAAATAGGAATTACCATTGTAACTCCATTGCGGTCATGTGATTTTCCACTTAGCAACCATGGTGCTTAATGGCAGTCTCTTTGTGATAGCTAGGCAAGGACTAGTTGTATCTTTAGGATCTTATTTATCTTTTAAAAAAATATTTATTTTTAAATAAAATAAAATAAAATAAATTAAATTAAGCTTATTTGAGATGCAGAAGAGTTTTGGCATTACCCTCATTATGAGACTTGGAAAATTGTTTGAAATAATATTTCTCCTGAGATTTTTTTCATTTGTGTTATTTTTTTCAAGGTTGTCTATGATGGGCTTTTTGGTGCAAATGCCAATGCTAAACTGAGAACTCTGTCTCTTCAGTTTGTGCATCATATTTGTGTGATGTAAGTATTTTTATGTCATGACTTTTTTTCTTGACAAGGTTTTTTTTTAAGATGTGGTTTGCCATTGTCTCCTTACTGTGGCTGGGACAAAGTAACTGGCTCAAAGTCACAGAGCTAGCTTAGTGCCTGTGGTGAGACTAGAACTCACCATCTCCCAGTTTCTAGCCAGATGCCTCAGCTACTACACCAAACTAGCTGTCCTATAACATCATATGTACAATTGAAACTTAGATTATGATTCTGCTGTTAAGTAATTTGATGTGAATAGAACATAAATTTTAGTGATGTATTTCAAGAAAGATGTATTATCATCATCATCATCATCATCATCATCATTAATGATCATCACACAGTCAGCCAGATGTTCAGTCTGGTTTTGGCATTTTTGTCTACCTATCTAGTCCTTACCAAGGATCTGGGATAGACAGATGTGGATGTTTGATGGTATTACAGATATCGTCGCAGGATGGAAGCAGTTCCATCATCATCATCATCATTATGATTATCATGATTATTATCATCATCATTATCATTATTATTATAATCGGCAGTTTTGTCCTATCATACTTGGCGTAGTTGTTAAGGCATCTAGCTAGAAATTGGGAGATGGTGAGTTTTCTGAAAAAAGTTGTCATTATCTGCCCAAAGAAGAACATTGCCCTAAAGAGTGGACCTGGGCATTTTATGGCTGCAGACTACATTTGGCCCTTTGGCTGTCCCTTTGTGGCCTGCAACATCAGGGTGGCATCAGCAGTGGCAGGGGTGAGGCGGCGGTAGCAGCCTTCCATCACAGTCCATGTTTCTCATGTGGCCCTTTGACCACATAAATTTCCCACTCCTGATACAGAGGCATCCTTTGAAAATAATTTTTAAGATGATCTTACATATGAAGGACAACGCTTATTATTAAGGTTTTTCGCTTGTTACATCATTATTTTTCTCATATATTGAATTTTAGTTGCCCTGACAGCAAGATAAAGCCATTAGGCCCAATGCTTTTGAATGGACTGACAAAACTAATAAATGAATATAAAGAGGTAAGTTCAAAGGGAGCCTTATGAAGAATCTTATTTATTTATGAAACTTGGAATGTTAAATGTTTTTATTACTTGCACTTGATTTTTTTCTAAAGAACTAATCTCTGTGGTAGTACTAGTATAGCTGGTTGTAAGAAAGCCATTGAGGTTTAACATGCCATTACTGTATTTGGATTACTGAATGCTGATTTAATCAGCCAGGATATTCACTTGGTATATCTTTATATCTGTTGAAATTTTGTTTCGTTCTTTTATTGGTGCATGTGGGAAACACACTGATAACCTGTGGTCATAATTAAAGCTCCTTGTTTGAGTAAAACCACTGCTTCCTGGCTTGTTCCCTTGTGCAGATGGAGGAAAGTAGTTTCATGTCAGTATATGAATTTCTTCCAGTCCTAGATTGATAAGTGATTTTCCAGTCCCAGTAATGTTGCATTGTTTTTTTCCCACCAAAAAGCACTGAATTTTATCCAGTGCTTAGAGCTGGCCACTCTGGTTTTCTCCCCTTAGTACATTTCAGACTGATCAGGATGTGTTGACACTTCCTTCTTATGAGTCTTTGTGGCTTAAATTCTTTCATTGTTCAATACTTTTATTTCTTGTTAGAAGCAGATTGCGAAATGTTTGAAGGAGTTGTCCATTGAACAGCTAAGAGCTTATTGCTCTATTAAGAATCCTTATGGCTGTCGTGCATATTTAGTGCTTAAGACATTCATAGAATATTCAGTTGCAAGGATAACTTTTTTCCCTATTATGTATCGGCAGAGGAAGCTATGCCAGAGCAAATCCAAGGTATATTTGGGTGTAATGTTCTTCAGTTGCTATCCAGGAGGCATTGGTTAATGAACTAATAGATGTAAAACCTCCCAGCTGGAGTCAATTTGACATTCAGAAAGACAGTAAAAGCAGGTTAAGATAATAATTGGCATATGTCTAGCTAGGAAACAATATTGTATTTTTTTTGCCTTGCTCATTATATATACCAATATAATACTCAGCATTCCAAGAGGTTGACCCATACATATATTGTTATAACATTGAATATAAAGTGTATTCATGTAAAAATTTATCCTAGGTGCATCAAAATTGTTGTTGATTTTCGAGATTATATCTGCACTTGTATTGCACAAATCTACACTTCCAATTATTTCTCTAGTCTAGGGTATTGACACAATGTCTGTCTTCATGTGCAGTTTGCACTTCCTGCTCTGTTCTTTGACAGACGTCAGAGGTAGTTTTAGTGCTATGTGATGCAGTTATTTTTGTTATGTATGCAGAACACAATTGTGTTTGAAAAGATTATTCAGTTTTTAGAATGTTTTGTTTCTGCAAAACATATTTTAAGATGAATACAGATCAAACAACAGAAACTCATAATTGTCAGGATAAACATGAATGTATATTGTCTCTTTCATGGCTCTTTGCTTATCTCACAGTTGTTCTGTTTTGTTTTGTTTTAAATAATTGAAGGATCCCAAACTGCTTTCAATGGCCTATTCTGCTGTTGGAAAACTTTCCAGGTAACAAAATTGCATTTAGACTGGTGAGACGTTGGTTGATTGTTTTAAAACTATTGTTACTCTGTCAACAAGCAAACAGACTGCCTTAGTGTAAAGAGTGGAGCAGATGCTATCTTTTGACAGTTCTGGAATTTCAAGTTAAACATGTGGGGAGGTGAATGCTAGAAATAATCCATTTTTAAGAAAAGGAGGAATCAAATTGAAATGGATTCTTGTCTACATTGCTTAAGTGGTACACATTTAAATGTAATTGGAGTAATGCTAAAGAATTCCAAATATAAAATCTATCCTTAAAAAGGCTATCAAAATTGAGCTCCTTATATTCTTTTTTAAAATTGTTTTTGCTCGGTGTTAGGAAAAGTAGAAACCTTCACAGCAATCATTCATTTGGCTGATCTCAGAGAGTTAACCAGGATCATACATTATTAATTATTGAATAGTAATGCACAAGAATGTCCTTGTGGTCACCAAGCCTCAAACTCAGCTTCGGGGAGCCTTTAAGGAGGGGCAGCCCATGAAGGTCTATTATATATGTGCAAATAAAAAGTATTAGCGTCTGACAGTCACCTCAGACATTATTCTGTTTGAGAGCTAATAGTGCAAAAAGGGTGAAGAATTAAAGATAGCTACCAAATTCTCATCCATATCTGCAATCCTAAACAATCTCACTATAATATAAACACAATGGGATGCATTTCTAAGCAAACACGTATAGGATCACATAGCGTGACAAGTGGCTTCACTTTATGTTGAAATCCTAGGTTTATTTATCAATGTATCAATACAGATAATTATACGATCTGACTCCCACTTAAGGGAAAACCGGCTCTGTAGGAAAACTCTCTCTGGCTCAGTTGTTCTCCTGACTGAAGAATCCATTGTACTCTTAATTGAGTCTTTCCCATGGATTTCAAACTCCCATTTATTTCCTATCATTTTTCACTTATTGTGAACGTGGTTATTTTAAACATTTCATTGATCAAAACTGGGTTTAACTATTTAACTGTTACTAATAGTTTTTATCTTAAGTACAATATGGTGTAAACAACAAAACAGAATAAAAATCCACTTAAACATTTAATCTCAATACTACCATACTTTTATTAGCATGTTAAGGACCTTTTTAAATCTTAGGGTATCAAAGGGGGAATGGATTCCATAGAGTAAAGGCTAGATGGGAAAAAGCTCTGAAATGGGAGGTGGCCATTGCAACATCAGGAAAAAGTAGGAAATGCTGATTGCGTGCATGAGCCAAGAACATAGGAGCATGAATTGTGATGAACTTTAGAAGGTCAGTGCCAGTAATTTTAATTGGTAATGTTTCTAAATCCTAATCATTATATGGATTGGCCAACAGAAGAAATAGGAGTGAATCGGAAAACAATTGATTATTACTTCAATAACATGTGGTATTTAACATTTTGAAACCCAGTATTGACTGTGTTAACATAAATAGTAACCTCAAAATGTAAGAAATAAATAAATAGAAGTTAATAATTCTGGGACACTTTACAAATTCCCATTAGAATGAACTAAGTAGTACACGAGAAATAATGTTTGATAAAATGTCTAGTTAGTACATTAACTGAAATTTCTGCTTTGTTTCAAATAAAGTCCTTTTAAAAATATTTTTTTTCCAGCCGAATACCTCAATTGTTTACCAAGGATCTTGCACTGGTCCAACAATTTTTTGAAGCTCTTTCTAAGGTTGGTGACTTTATTTTTATTTTACCAAAGAAGTAGTTTATCTAGAATTTTTTTTTTCTTATTTGTGGGATGCTTATTAGATGTTAATACCTAGATATCATTTCAGGAAGAACCTGATACCAGACTAGCTATTCAGGAAGCTCTGTCCATGATGGTTGGTGCATACACCAGTTTAGAAGGAGCACCTCGTACTCTTATGGAGGCACTTGTAGCCTCTAACCTAATCAAGGTAAGTCACCAGGATATGGAAGAAGTGTGAAAACCTGGGCTTATTTTCCCTTAATCCTTTGTACATAAGAATGATTATACTAACTTATGATATGCAATTAGGAGAAGAAAAAATACCTTACTTTTTCCTCTCTGGGGCCTGATCTCCATTCCTTGTTTATTCATGATCTATATCAGTGGTGGCGGACCCATGGCACGGGTGCCAAAGGCAGCACAGAGCCCTCTCTGTGGGCATGTGCGCCGTCGCCCCAGTCCTAGGCCTTCAGGTGGGTTTTATAAAATCTTTTCGCTTTAGGCCTCTGCCGCCGTGTGCAAAAAAAAAAAAAAAAGGTTCAATCAATCAGTCAATTTCAACTTCTCGCGGGAAAAAAAAAAGATCTTTTTAGTCCCACCCAGTCTGCTGTTACCACCGTAGCCACTATTTTGTTAAAGACTACTTTTAGAACTACATATAAAGCAAGTATAGCACATCTTTAACCCTTCAATTATATCTTGGAAACTTAAACATTTTATGGCAGACATAAGATGCTATATTGTGTTTCACATTTCGTTGCATCATCGTTATGATTACTGACTGTGCTTGCTTTTGCTGCACCAAGGGAGCAGTAAAAATAATGATTTGTGCTGTTTCAAATATTAAGAAATGTTGATTCCTGATAAACAGTCTTAAGTGATCTATTCTCTGCCAGTAAACTATGCATGAGAAATTATTTATTGTTTGTTTACAAATATATCTATTCATATTATTTTGTATAATTACAATATATAATTAATGCCTAAGTCATTAGAGGAAGTTCAAGAAAAAACTTTAAAAAAATCATAACAATGAAATAAAGCATGCTATAAATGAGAACTTTTTGTACCTGCCTTTTTACTTTTGGTGCATACATTATTTTGAATATTGTATGCAAATGCCTGATTTGGTAAAAGAGTTTGTTTCTGATTATTTCTTCCTCTTTCTGACTTTTTTTTTTTTTAGCCTCAAGTCCAAGTACGCCAAGTAGCTGTAAAATTTGCCAGCACAGTGTTTCCTTCTGATCATATTCCTTCAAGATACTTGCTTCTTTTAGCTGCAGGAGATCCGTAAGTTTGATATTGCATCCTAGACGGTATAAAACAGAAAGGTTATATAATGGTATCTTAAACAGGGATCGATAATTCTTATTTTGATTCATTTAAACTATTACTTCAATTAATATACACTTTACTGATTCTGTAAAATATATTTTATTTATTTATTAGAGTTTTATTCTGCTTTTATTATTTCATAAGTACCTCAAGGCAGCAAACGCACATACTACTTCCTTCTCCAATTTTCCCCATCTCAACAACCCTGTGAAGTGAGTTGGGCTGGCCCATAATTACCGAACTAGCTTTCTTGCCTAAGGCAGGACTAGAACTCAGTCTCCTGGTTTCTAGACCAGTATCTTAACCACTATACTAAATTGGCTCCCTTTTAATTGATATACTTTTCTATCAGATTTTGTCACACACAAAACATCTGAAAAACACAGTGTCCCAGTTCACAAATAATATAAGCCAGAAATTTAAATTATGTATCTTCCAGAAATGTCTTCCTCTTTATTGCAACTGGAACAATGAATAAATCAGAATTTATTTTCACTTTTGCATTTTCCATAGTAACTTGTATTTATGAGAGTTTTTTTTTTAAAAGTCAATTTGTAAGTCACAGATGGGTTTCCTGTTTTATTTAATGTCTCCATTAAAGACTTGAAAAGTAAAGAATCTACTGAATCAAACTAAAGTTTATTGTTATTAATATTCAAGTAAGAAAGACAGTGCAAAGAGGAACCTGGCTCTTCCTTGTTTGTGCATGTAATGTTAAATAATTGGTTCTTAAGGTTGTGCAATCCTGTGGAAAATGTTTCAAGTAACGTATTTTGGAGTTCAAGAGAGCACCAATATAAAAGAAGTTGTGTCTTATCCTAGAATTTCATGGCTTCCCTCTATGTGATTCCAGGAGAAGATGCAGCTACTTTAAAAAGTTGCAGACATTGTACATTTTGAAATCAAATCCAGAATTTAAACACAGCTCTTGCGTTAATATGAACTGGCATATCAATTTATGTTTTTCTGCTGAGTTATTTTTGGAGGTTGATAAATGAAATGTTTTATTTGTTTGTGCATATGTGAAAATGTTTTATTTTAATTTCTGAAAGGCGGGAAGAGGTGCACGGAGAAGCACAACGTGCTCTAAGAACATTTCCTGGTAAAAATGAAAAGGAAAGTGCTGATAAACAGATGCCTTCATTTCCAGAAATGGTCCAGTATATTCAAGAAAAGGTACAGGACTTCAGTTTAAAACTCTGTAATTATATGGAATACACTGTTCAAAGTACAGCCATAATATGGAACTCCCCATCCCTTTCCCTGTTGAGGACATGAACTGAATTACATGTAGTCCTTGTTTAGCTACTACAATTGACGCTTTAAGTGGTCGCTAAGTTAAAAAAGTCATATGGCCACGATTGTTTTTATGATCTTACTTCAGCTTTCCTTTGCTTTACAGACCTGCAAAAATCGTAAATGCAGGCATTGGTCGCAAAGTTACTTGGTTACTGTGCAAGGCAGTCATTAAGCAAGGACTACCTATAATTAATGGTGGGATTCAGCCAGTTTGCACCAGTTTGGCAGAACCAGTAGCTAATATTTTGTTGCCCAGGCCCAGAATGGACTTCCGGAAGCGGCATCCACACAGAGAACCAGTTGTTCACATATTTGAATCCCACCACTGCCTATAATGTCATAGGACCAGTTGTGAAATGAAAGTCCAGTAATTTGTATGAGTTACAAAACATTTGGGGAATAACCATGTTCTGTTAAATACATAAATACTTTATTTTAGGCCTCTCACCGAATGAAAACTCCTGCTAAATACATGACTGGAACAACAGTAATGCCTTTCAACCCAGCTACTTTTGGAGAGGTATGCATCTCAGTTACAAATCAGGGAAAGCCCTATTTTTTAAAAGTAAAATTCTCTTCTGTATATATTGTGCCTTCTAGAAATAGTATTTCTACACAAGCACATAGCTGAAATTTATATATCAGAGGTTTTGTTAGGCTGTTGGGGGGTTATGAGTGAGGAGACAGATTTTGCCAGTGACACATCTGTTTTACACAAAGCTATCTTTCAACGGATGAGCAAATTGCTAGTAGTTCTGAGCCAGCAAAGAGTCCTTTTACCCAAGACTTCAGTGGCTCTCCTGATCTTTTATGGATTTTTATGCATTTGTTTGGTCCTTATTCAGCTTTTTGCTGATTAGTTTTACGTTATTTCCCCATTTTTCCAGCCCCTCTGCAAGTTGCTCCTAATATTCAGTGAGAAAATCGGACATTATTTTTTCCTCTCCTTTGCACAATAAGCGGGAAAAAAAAGTGTTAACTCCATGGTAAATTTAATACACCGATTTATTTTAGGAGAGCCATTTTATTGTAATGGTTAAGCCACCAGGCTAGAAACCATGAGTTCTAATCCTGCCTTAGGCATGAAACCAGTCCTTGGGCCAGTCATTTTTTCTCAGCACTAGGAAAAAGGCATTGGTAAACCACTTTTGAAAAACTTTAACAAGAAAACTGCAGGGGCTAATCCATGTAGTCACCTGAATTTAACACTATTTGGAAAGTACCCTTCCCCCTTTAAAAAAAAGGACTACAAAACAAAACTGAAACCTCAAACATTATCAGCCATGCCCTCTGCTTTCTTCCAATGCCTAATAAATAAATAAATTTAAAATGTGGTCATGAAGAAAAAAATGATGCCTTTTCCTTAGTTAGACATTTATTTAAAAATGGGAAGAAAACTGATATTAAGAAACTTTCTGCACCCAGTATCTATATGCTTTGTTCTTTTCCCTTGTGAAAATGTAGTAGTATATACAGTATATAACATCAGGCGTGATAAGTCTAGTTTAAGAATTTTAAAATTCTTTCACTAAAACAGACTTGCTTATAGAGTTATTACATTCCCAAAGAAATAAAGGAGACAGCAAAGTTTAACTCTTCAGTCGTCTCTTTAATAGATTTTCTTCTGCAGACTAGGCCAGGTTTTGCAGCAGTAGCTTCAAGCAGAATAATGCATATTTCATTTGTAAGTTTAAGAGTAAGTTATGTGCACTCTTTGAAAATAGCTGGCAGACCCCAAACCGGAGCCTTGGTGATGCAGTGGTTAGAATGCAGTATTGCAGGCTAATTCTGCCGACTGCCAGCTGTTCGATTCTTACCGGCTCAGGGTTGGCTCAGCCTTCCATCCTTCTGAGGTCGGTAAAATGAGGACCCAGATTGTTGGGGGCAATACGCTGACTCTGTAAACTGCTTAGAGAGGGCTGTAACGCACTGTGAAGCGGTATATAAGTCTAAGTGCTATTGCTAAAAAACCCATTCATTTGGTAGAAAACAAGCTCGGGGGTGGGGGAGGGTAATGCCCACTTCCTAAACCCCCTAGATGTTCTCCTTGATCTTTTTTTTGTTTTGCAGGACAGGTGGGGAGTGAAATATCTTGAGCTACTATTATTTATCTTTTTATTCTAAATAGGCTTATAAAGTCCAAAAGCATTCATGGAAATAATATTTTTTGAGGTAGTTTATTTAGCAGCATACTGATTACTGTTTTATTTTAGGTGTTTATTTTAAAAAAATTTTTTTAATAAATAGGCTTGGCATAGGGCTTCAAGTTTAGTACCTAGGATATAGTGTGGCAGAGTGCTTAGTTTAGAACAGGGGTTCTCAACCTTGGCAACTTTAAGACTTGTGGACTTCAACTCCCAGAATTCCGGGAGTTGAGGTCCACAAGTCTTAAAGTTGCCAAGGTTGAGAACCCCTGGTTTAGAATATGACATATTTATAGGCAAGTTACTGTCACCCTTAACTTCCTTAACTTTTGAACATTGGGATAATTTGGTCCTGTAGAACCAAGTAATGAATGAGACAGCAACATTCCTTGGGCATTTTAAATCTCAGTAACACAATAGATGTGATTATTGTACTGTGATTCATGTCTGAAAAAAAGCTACAGTTGTTTATTCTGTAAGGGAAAGCTGGTGACCGTTATATTTTTTTCCTGCTTTGCTTAGATAGTGCTGTATCTCCGGATGTGTCTTGCTCACAGTGCTGGTGTGGTGCCTACTTCTCAGAGCTTAGCTGATATGCAAGATCATGCTCCAGCCATTGGCCGTTATATAAGAAACCTCCTCTCTGGAAATATTATAACATCCTCATCCTCAAAGGGAGGTGAAAGCAATCCTGTACAGATTTATATAAGTCTCCTTCAGCAGTTGCTCTCTGGTGTTGGAGGTGAGAACTCACAGGTCACAAAGCTAAAAAAATTGTTTTACTGCCTTTATCATGAATGAAAAATATGCTGCTTCGAAAGTTGAATTCAGCATCCATTATTGGTTATTTTGTTAGTGTGAAGCAGATTCACTTCCTAGAAATGTAAGTTCTGTTTTAATGCAATAAATTAGACCAAAGCAACCTGTCTTTATCAGCTGATACTTTAAAGCCCCAGTGGTTCCAGTTTTAGAAGTACTAAAAAGTATGGTTATATGTTCAGTGAGTATATTTTTGGCAAGACCATTGTGTTGAAAATTAACATAATTTTGAGAGAGTGATTTTATTATATTTTTTAAAAAAACAATTTTATATTCCAGTGGCATAAGTGGAAGTGTAATTTTTGGCAGAGAAAGACTGTCTGTCCTGTATGAGAACTAAGCCAAACTTTAGCTGGCTTAGAATTCTGTTCTCATTAGTAGTCAGATCTGACTGTTCTCAAACCAGGCATAAAAGTAATGTAGAATAGAAGGGACCTTGGAGGTCTTCTAGTCCAGCCCTCTGCTCAATTGTACTTTCCCAATTACATACTACCTATGTATATAGAGGTTCTGTGCAGATGTCAAATGGAATAATCCTTGTTAGACCTAAACTTTGTTTTTTCTCCCAATCCTTTTAAAAATAGGTGCCTTAAATTTTAGGCTATTGCCACCAGTTCTACCTTACCTTAATTGATCTTTCTCATTACCTTAGCCGTAATTCAAGATACTAGATAATAATCTAGTAATTCAAGATACTAGATAATAATTTCATCTTCTGACTGGGCAGTGTGGAGAGGAGCGAAAAACTAGAAAGGAAGTGACTAACTAATTTTCAGAGGTTAATTTGCTAAAGATAACTGGAAAAAACGCGCCGGTTTTCTAATCTTGCATTCCTGGCTATATATTTCTATTTCCACTCTTTGGCATGTCTTTCATTGATTCCAGCAATCTAGGCTTTCCCCATCCCTGTCTTACTATCACTTCCTCTTACCACAGCGACACCGGAAGTGGCATCACTTCCAGTCTCGCGAGATTTTGGCAGCTGCGCCACTCATTCTTCCATCTTCCCTGCTTTTGGGTTCTGCGTGGGTGAGTCATTGAGAGTGTGGGTTTATATCGTATTACTTAAGTTTTGAGTTGCATTTAGGTTTATGTCTCATTTTAAGGTTGGGGGGGGGGGAAGTATCCAAATTGGCCTTTTTCCAGTTTTTTTTTAATGTTTGTAAAGTATTAAAATGCTTACAACCTGTCAATTTTCAAGCAATTCTAAGAGATTTATTATAAAATAATCAATCTCAAAATCAAATAAATTTGTCTTTGAGATGTTGTAGGCTTGATAGATGGGCGTGCCACTTAATCTTGGAATGTGTTTCATTCTCGTTGCCTGAACTGAAGTGTGTGTTATGAATGATGAGCTTGGATTGGCTACAGTAGCTTTTTTTTTTTTTTCCCAGGAATGATTTTTCTAGTGCATCCAAAATGTTAGCCTTGAAATTCCACAACAGTACACAAGTTTTTGTTGCATCCCTATGTCATAACATTTATTAACAAAATACTATGCATGCATGATGTTTCAGCTGATTGCTGTGCCGGTCAACATATGTTGTACAGCTAATCCTTGACTTACGACCACAGTTGGACCAGAATTTCCATTGCTAAGCAAGGCGGTTGTTAAGTGAGTCGTGCCTGATTTTATGAGCTTTTTTGCCACAATTGTTACGCAAATCAATGCAGTTGTTAAACAAATCACAAGGTTGTTAAGCAAATCAAGTTTCTCCCATTGATTTTGCTTGTCAGAATCCAGATGGTAAGGTGATCACATGACTCTCGGATGCTGCAACTATTGTACATACAGTATGTGTTAGTTGCCAAGTACCTAAATTTTGATCATAAGAGTGTGGGGATGCTGTGATGGTCGTATGTGCCTTGAAACTGGTGATAAGTCATTTTTTTCAATCCTGTTGTAATTTTGAATGGTCTCTAAACAAATGGCTGTAAGTCGAGGACTATCTGTATAGCTCAGTATGGTTCAAATATATATTCCAATATTAACATGTTGAATATTGTTAAAATATTTAGTAGAGAATCCTGGATTTCATTGTTGAATGTCTTCATCTCTTATTTGAATTCTCAAGTTTCCTGTTGAGATGACGCTTTTGAGATGCAGGTTTCTTTGGCCAAAAAAATGTTACCATATAGTTTGACATTCGTATACAGAAACCCATTAAGTAACTCCCTTTCAGCAACATTATTCAGAATGCAGGGAAAAATAGTAGGAAATAACAAAAGAAACTTAACATCCCAAAAAGAACAAAGGAAATATACCCACTCAGTACACGATTCCTTAAATACTGACCTCTTAACATCTATTTCTAGCTTTGGCCAATTGAGCAAAGTAAGATAAAGGTTATGTCACTAGCTTTAGTTGTAACTATGCCACATACAGCATTTCCTGCTGCAAATAAAGGTATTTTTTTACAAGTATTCTGTAAGTGCAGCAGTGGTTAGTTTTACCCCAAGCATACTCATGCAGTTCTGTGCAAGTTGGTTCTCTAATCCAGAGACAGCTTTGCAAGACAACTTATTATTGTCTGCATCACACCAACTATGAGGTACATGCAGTCTCTCAGTGCAAAATGCATCTAGTCATAGTATTAGGTTACAGTGTAAGTATTTGTTTTGAATAATTCGGCATGCCTAGTATGAAGACAATAAATTATATTTGTATGCATGGTGATTTTATTTAGCAAAGTTAGCATTTCGTGGTGATTTCATTACCAAATTCATGTATGCAGAGTACAATAGTTTCTATTCAAATGTTGGTCATTTTAATAATTTGAGAACCTTTTTAAAAAATGTAGGTTTGCCAGTCATGTACTGTTTGCTGGAAGTTGTTTCAGTCTATCCTGAAAAGCTAGCTGCAAGATTTATAGACAAGATGGATTGGATAAAGGTATGTTAACGAAAGAGATTATTTTATTGCAAAATTTTGTATTTCATTCCAGATTTTTTTCCCACACCCAAGAAAGGAATGATTGTGATAATATTAAAAGTATATTTCTCAATAGTTCCTGATCTGTTAAAAGTAATTTCATGGAAGCCAATATGGCATCTTTGTTATCCACATACTGAATTAAATGATAGATAAGTCATAGGGATAGTTATAATAAGATTTTAAAGAAAAAATCAGTGATGGGAAAATAGCTTATCACAAGTTCTATTAAGAATGTCATTATCTGAAATAAAGATTCAGAGGCAAAATTAGTCAGAATTTCTATTAAAGCATCTAAAAATATGCTTTAATAGACTATGGTTTTGTAATGAATATTTGAGTGCCTGTCCCTAGTCTTTAGTTTTATTGCATTGCACATAGTAATGGAAAGAGTTGTGGTTGCACAGTGGCTAGAGTGCAGTATTGCAGACTAATTCACTGCTCGCTGCCAGGAGTTCGATCCTGACCTACTCAGGGTTGACTCAGCCTTCTGTCCTTCTGAAGTCGGTAAAATGAGGACCCAGATTGTTGGGGGCAATATGCTGATTCTGTAAACTGCTTAGAAAGGGCTTTAAAGCACTGTGAAGTGGTATATAAGTCTAAGTGCTCTTGCTATTGGTGTGGAAATGCAAGACCAATGAAGAATTCTCAATATCGTTATTCTCCTTCAGTTAAATATTCTTTGGAGAAGATGCTATTTAGCCATTACCCACAGAGAACTCAGGGTTAATTGGATCAGTCTTTTTATTATTTAAATGCTAGTAGGGCATTGATTATTTTTAACATATTGTATTCCTTTATATTGTTTTCAGAACCTTATGAATACTAATAAAGAAGAAATGCGGGAATTAGCTGCTCTATTTTATTCAGTTGTACTTTCCACAGTGTCAGAAAATGAATTCAAAACATCTGTTCAGCACCTGATAAAAACAGCAAAGGATAATCATGTAATATTTTTGTTTTTACCTCACACTACTTTTATGAATGAAAGTATAATAGTATTATTATGTATCTTAAATGTACTTTTCTGTTTAAGGAATATTGAACTCAGTTAAAAGTGAGGAGTTTTTTTATGAATATCAGAAAACTGAGAGTAAGAGCTATAACTAAAAGAGTTATAACTAAAAATATGGACATTTATTTTTAAACTACTTAAATAAATGTTCAAATACTTAAAATATACTTATTGCTTAATTGTTTAATAGGGAAGGTTTGTTGAGAAAGATATTGGCAAATGCTATGATACATTGTTTGATTTACAGTTCACTGCCTATATATTTTTCTTGTGATTCATTGAAACATATTTACAGTGCAATCCTATATATTTCTCCTAAAATATATATCCATGTAAATTGAGTGGCTCTTATTCCAAGATACATGAACTGCAGCATGGAATATTCAACCTATATTAGTTAATGCTTTATTTTTACTAAGAAATAAAATTATAGCTCCATTAAGGCTAGCTGAAATTTTGCCATTGCAGTTATTATACTGTTAGCCAGGTAAAAGAATTCTTATTTGGTTAATTAAATGAGTGATTCAATTCAAATATAGTTGTATATAACATAAAGTCCTTGTCTGAGGGAAAAAAATCTGTGATTTTATTTAGTGCATATATGTCATAGTACAGGGGTGTCAAACTGCTGGCCCATGGGCCGGACGCGTCATGAGGAAACCGCGCCCTCCCCATTGCCGGCAATGGGGAAAAAGTTCTGATACGTCACGTGACGTCGCAAGTTTGACATGTCTGTCGTAGGTTAGAAAAAAAAATCACCTTTATAAGAACGAAAAGATTGATTTTTCTAAGAAGCTATATAGCATCCATTATTTATAAGTAGAGGGAAAAATAATCAACTAAAAATCAATATGCAGAGATATAGTCTTTTAATGTTTAGGCTATTAAAGCTCACACTATTATCTTTAAATATAAGAAGGCTGCTCATAATGTTTTAAAGACACTAATATATATGACTTAATGAATTGCAAATTTGTTTTTTGATTGTCATTCTTTTCACTACAGAATCTGGAAATGCAACATGGATCATTACTGGCTCTGGGATTCACAGTAGGACGGTATTTGTCAAAAAGAAAAATGAAAACAGTAGAACTGCATGGTATAGAAGACCCAAATACCATTGTAGCACCAGAACAAGACCAGCTGATAAAATCAACAACAGAAACTATAGGTCAGTCTGCATATTTGCACTTTCCCTGCGTTCTTGGCCCATTTTGTTCACTTTGGTTTTGAAAAATTAAATCACTTTTGGCCCATTGTGCTGCTTTACCTATTTCTACTTGAGGTCTTTGTCATAAAACTCATATAACATAATAGTAATCTCAAACTCATCTCATTTCATTGTTTAATGATATATTTGATTCACAAATCATTTGAAAACAGATTTATCTAGTTGCAAGTAATGTACTTGGCATTAAAATAGATTAATATTATCTGAGCATGAGCCTCTGACAGATAAAACCAGTTAATGGGCTGCTATTTAATTAGTGCTGAAGATTCTATCAAATGATAATGAAAAGTGAGATAAAATGTAGTGTGATTGAATAGAAAAATGAAAATGATCTAGGATTATGCCTATTAGAATAAAGTATCTTTGAAATTTTATATGTAATAATCTTGAACTGTACTCAGATATGTTGCTCTGTATGATGCGGCATATTTTATTTGTCTTATTTTTTTCTTGGTACAAATGTTATAAATGCTGGAAATTTCTGGGAATATTCATTTTCGTTGAAAAATACGCTTCTCCCACTTGAGGCAGGTGTTCAGATGAATGCAAAAATTATTTACAGTTTATGTTTGGCCTGGTAAAGGCCTCAGGCTAGAAACAACAGACCATGGGTTCAACTCCTGCCTTAGCCATGAAACCAGCTGGGTGACCTTGGGCCAGTCACTCTCTGCCCAGCTGATCTAACAGGGTTGTTGTTGTAGGGAAAGTAGGAGGAAGAAGGTGTGTTGGATATGTTGCCCACCTTGGATTATTTGTAAAAATTATACAGGTAGTCCTTGACCTACAACAGTTCATTTAGTGACCTTTCTAAGTTATAACAGCACTGAAAAAAGAGACTTATAACCGTTTTTCACACTTACAACCATTTCATCGTCCCCATGGTCATGTGATTAAAATTCAGATACTTGTCAAGTGACTCATATTTATGACTATTGCAGTGTCCTGGGGTCATGTGGTTCCCTTTTGCAATCTTCTGACAAGCAAAGTCAGTGCGGAAGCCAGACTCACTTAACAACTGCAGTGATTTGCTTAACAACTGAGGCAAGGAAGTCATAAAATGGGGCAAAATTCACTTAACTGTCTCGCTTAGCTCAATTGTGGTCGTAAGTCGAGGACTACCTGTAAAAGGGATATAAACAAACCTAAGTACTAGCTAAAAAAGATTCTTCATCACCATGGGAGTAATGTTTACGGTGATGGTGCCGATAATTAATAGTAATAATGCAAAGCTTTTAAATTATACTTTAAGCTATTTTGAACTATAATTTGGTTGACAAGTAGTCCAGTTCACAGGTAACCCCGATAATGAAGTCAAACAGCGTGCTGCTCATCAATAAATCATGTTCTGGTTTACCATTGTGACTGAGCCAAGCTATTTCATTGCCTGTAGCAATTTTCATTGTAATATCATGATGATATTTGAACCAGATGTGTATAATTCTGTAAATTCTGGGAGTCTTTTAGATATTGAATCGGTAGGTTGGATCCAGCATAAGCCTGCTGCCAGTATAAGGACTTCATCTACCTCAGTGGTTCTCAACCTGTGGGTCGGGACCCCATTTGGGGTCGAACAACCATTTCACGGGGGTGGCCAAACAAGGCTGTCCACCATTTTTTCCCCCTTTTCTTTGGCCATGCCCCTGGCACCCGGTGATGTATAAGTGGTTGGGGGTCACCACAACATGGGGAACTGTATTATGGGGTCGCGGCATTAGAAAGGTTGAGAACCACTGATCTACCTGATGATAGAGTGGGGAGGAGAAGCAGTCTTTAGCCACTTTTCTTTCCCTACCCAATCCTGTATTCTTCCTGAAAATCTGCTCTGAAATGTTGAGGGCCCTGCAGAATGATGGGAAAAGTAGTGGTAGAGGTTGTAGAAATAGGGGCGGGGGGGGCTGCTTCTTCTTCCTTCTTTTTGTCAGTAGGAGAAGACCCGCTTACAGGCTGAGACCATCTTAGAGGCTGTTCCTTCGGGATACGATTTTAAAGGAAAAATAACCAAGTAATCTTTCTACCTTTACTAGGTTCCTTTTTGGATAGTACATCGCCACTTCTAGCCATAGCTGCATGTACAGCCCTGGGAGAAATTGGCAGGAATGCGCCTTTGCCCATCCCCAACGAAGGCAGTGGATTTACAAAACTCCATCTTATTGAAAGTTTACTGGCCAGAATTCCGTCTGGCAAAGAAAGCAATAAGGTAATGTTTTGCAAAATGGCTACAGTTCTCTCCTGATGAAAAGGTCTTTGAGCATGGTTGTTTTCTTGTAGATGTTTTCTTGTCCAAACTGGGTAACATCATCCGTGCCAGAAAGGAATATTAAGCCACTTCATATTCTAATGCAGTGATTCTCAACCTTTCTAATGCCGTGACCCCATAATACAGTTCCCCATGTTGTGGTGACCCCCAAGTGGGTGTGGCCACCAATAAGGGGGAGTAGGACAGCTAGGGAAAAGGGAAAAAAATGGTGGACAGCATGGTTTGGTGACCCCCGTGAAATGGTCATTTGACCCCAAATGGGGTCCCGACCCACAGGTTGAGAACCACTGTTCTAATGGCTTGCCAGTGTTGGTGGGAGTGGTCTTGGGGGTTCTTTGGTTGGGCTGTTTACCGTTAGCTTGTTTGGCAGTTCCTTGAGTGGAATATTATTTGCTTCAGTTGCTCTGGTGTTAATCTTGGTATTACTTTATGCTCATCTGGGTGTTTTGCTGATGGGGAAGTGTTTCGGTTTCCCCATTTTAATTTAGCAGATTTTAAAATAACTCTCTTTCTCATTCTTCCTCCCCCCCTCCCCCCCGGCCTCATTTTTAAGATGAAAGAAAGAGCTATTCAAACACTGGGTTACTTTCCAGTAGGCGATGGAGATTTTCCTCATCAGAAGCTACTCTTGCAAGGATTAATGGATTCAGTAGAGGTAATTATTTAATTGTACTCTTAGAATATATATTTGAAGAAAGGGTTGCTTTTATTAATTCATGCCAGTTTCTTAAACAGTTTCCTTAATTCTTTTGTTCCATTATTTTTTCCTGTTATAAATGTTTGTAAATGTTGAAAAAAAGCCTTTTCAGATTTAGGAGAACAACACTAATGCCATCCAGTGCATAATTATTCTTCATGGTTGCTTTACAGCAGGGGTCTTCAAACTTGTCCCTTTTACGACTTGTGGACTTCAACTCTCATAATTCCTCAGCTAGGCACGCTGGCTGAGGAATTCTGGGAGTTGAAGTCTATAAGTCGTAAAAGGGACAAGTTTGAAGACCCCTGCTACTATAGTGAGGGGGCATTGTTACCTTGAACAAGTTTTTGTTGAATCTTGCCCTTCTGTGCTTCTATATTTCTTGATATGCAGAAGAAAAAATGTCTAGGCCCTGTGTGTCCTTTCCAAGAATTGATCAGTCAGTTCCTTTGTAATCATTGAAATGATTTCCTCCTTTATATTGCAGAGTTTTGGTCCCACATGTCTTTCCTCCCATTTAAAATGGGTGGGGATGGATGGGTGGAATTGGCATCCAAGGACCATTGGTTAAAATTGAAAGCAGTGGCCCTTTTAGTTTATTCATTTAAATAATTTATATGGCCGCCCTTCTCACAACAGTGACTCTGGCCAACATACTCTGGCTAAAAACCAGAATTAAAACCATTAACCCATGAAGCCCTCGTTAAATGACCCAATCATCAAAAGATATCAACAAGGCTAGCCTAACCTGCTTGCTTGAATGCCTGGGGAATTTTGCGGCTTTGGAGTGTCCCTGTAGTCATGATGGCTGAAAATAAATAGCACAATACTTTTCAACTTTTAGTTTGGAAATAGATGAAAATAATGCTGTGCGACTTGAAATAATTTTGATTTAAATGCAGGAATGATTTTTGAAATCAGCTGAAAATTCCATTGTATAATTTCTAATAAAGTATACTACAATCTTCTTCCTTGTAATAAGTGCAGCAGGTTTCTTGCCTAGAAAATACAGCTGGTTTTGATAGTGAGCGAACTGAAATTTAATGTTGTTTTATTGTGTGTTTCTCAGGCTAAGCAAATTGAATTACAGTTTACAGTTGGTGAAGCTATTACCAGTGCTGCAATAGGGACCAGTTCTGTAGCTGCCCGTGATGCATGGATAGTAGCTGAAGAAGAGTATACTGCTCCTCTTGGTAGGTTTGGGCATAGAATATCTAACAATATATTTCAGAGACTGATTTTAGTTCTTGGTTTATAAGAAAAAAAAGCTTCTGTTTTTGAACAAACCCAGAATGACAGATTTTTATTAAAACTTTGTTTCCATTTTTATTCTGGAATTTGAAAAGTCACTTAACATGGAACCTGCTTCAGTATAACTTTTACACCTACAATTAGCTTTGTGCTTATGAGTGATAATAGAACATACTCAGCCAAACTACAGCCTAAGTTCCAAAACTAATCTAATCTCTGTAATGACTTAGAAGGCAAATGCACATTTTATATCCAAGGGCAGGTTGTAATGTTTTTCATCCCTTCATGTTAAATATTTATATACTTTTTTTTCAAGTAAACAGATTTTGAAATCAGTTAACGCAAATATTAAAACAAGTACACTAAAAGGTTAATAAAAGCACCAGCTTTTCTATTCTATCTGTCAGGCTTGAAACTATTTTGTTTGTATGATTAAAAAAAATCCTGTCATTTATGCCTCTGGTAAAATCTAGTATAATAGGCACTGTACTGGATTGTTTTGGGAAACATTGGAAAGACTGACTAAAAAGAGAGAAAAAGAAAATATGACAAAATAATCCGCGTAGTCCTTATTTGTATATCACTGTAAACTGTAAAAACGTTGCATCTTTTGGTAAGGACAAGTGTACATGAAAGTACCTGAAACTAGACAAAAGTCCAGAATTTATATGTAGAATATTTATAGGCAGAACCATGAATATTTAAAGTTAAAACATTGCTACCGAGGCTCTGTTTTCCAAATCCTTTTGCTTGCATTATACTTAAGTTCCTATTTGCAATGGTTTAAATGTAACAGATATGAAGATTAATGATGTGGTTCCCTGGGTCCTGGATGTCATTTTGAATAAGCATATCATAAGTCCCAACCCTCACATAAGACAAGCATCCTGTATTTGGCTTTTATCACTGGTGAGGAAGCTGAGTGCCCACAAAGAAATTAAGGTAGGAAGAAAAAATTATGTCCCATTCTCCTTTTTGAGGTTGGGGGGAGGGGAATCTGATTTAGTTGACCTTCTGTGATTTCATTGTGCATTCCTTTGTCCTCTTGTTTGCCTGTTTCTGAACTCTCATTTTTCTACTTGTTTTGAAAATGCACTTGCTGGACAAAATGGATACAGGTCCATTAACGATGTGCTGGTTTTTCCAAAACTCATAGAAAAGTAGAAGGAATTTGTTTGAGCCTCACACTTTATCGTATTGTTCTGACAATGAGTTGCATTATTCCTGTATTAGCTTAGAAAAAATCTGCATGTTCTCTAACCCATAATCATATATCAAAGGGTTACCACATCCTTCTACAGGGGGTAACAAAAACTGACAATCTGTCATAGATTGCATTCCTTTCAAGAATAAACCATCAGAAGCTTTGCACCAAATGTTGTTTTTGCTGCTCACAGAGCAAGCCAGAAAAAGGGCAAATTATTCTTATTGGTGAGATTTTGAAATTGGGTTTCAAGTAATAGGTATAAGGTAAATCCTTCTTTTTTCTTTCATAGTCACATCTCAAGGACATTCAAACTGCATTTGTATCTATTTTGTCTGACAGTGATGGTAAGTAGGATCATGCCTGCATAATTTTGTTCATTGATTAAAAATGCAAATCTTATTAGAAACACAAGTGGTTAAGCTTACAGATATAGAAAAAAAACCTTTCAGTATAGAGATGTTATTATTTAAATTGTAACTTGCTTGACAAATTCTGAAATTTGACATTGAAAATATGTAATACCAATGCATAGTATTATTTAAATCAAAAATATAATCTAGTTGTGATTTTTTTTAAAAAAAATCCCACAAACAGTTTTTCCAAGTAAAATGTTATTTTACAAAAACTAAATATGAACTTGATCCTGTACCTGTTTTAAATTGCATATAAACATGAAATATGTTGCTGTTGCTGAATGCCACCAAGAAAACAAAGATTTGGTAATATTAATAAAGAAAGGAACCAAATTGTAGGTTCTGAATAAATGGTGGCGTTCAGTTAATTCTTAACTTTTGTAAAATTAATCTGGGAGGAAAAAAGATATTGACAATTATTGACAGGTTGATTTCAAAAATCAATGCCAAGACATTCTGCAGTGATTTCTATTTGATCTGAATTCTAGTCTTAGTGGGGATTGAAACCAATGTATATGCTATAGGGCTTTATAGTACTACTGATTAATATAGCAAAATCTGAAATATAGTTGAGAGTTTTTGTTTGTTATCATTTAGGCATTTCAAGTGCAACTATTTTTCTCTCAAATAAGAACTTCCAGACCACTGAACTGTCTGTGATTTCGGAAATTTTCAGTCTGACTGAGAATTACTTCCATGTTGTGATTTGAGAGTCTTGAGAGGAAACTGCTTGTTATTCTTTCCTGAGGAGATGGCTTTCCAGCATTAACATTTCTTGCCTTGATTTTAGGAGTTCTATTATTGCTGTGTGTTTGAGATACGTATATAATTTTGAATGGGTAAATGTGATTGAACTGGTATTGCACTGGTTAATGTTTGGGCATGGAGACCCACATACAGATATAGCAAATCAGCCTAGTAAGATTTAATTTGCTTTCTATTTCTTATAGAACTCAGTCAAGATGTGGCTTCCAAAGGTCTTGGCTTGGTGTATGAGCTTGGAAATGAACAAGATCAACAGGAACTAGTTACTACACTTGTTGAAACGCTTATGACTGGGAAAAGGTATTTTAGAACAGAGGTCCCCAACCTTTTGGGCACCAGGGACCGGTTCCATGGAGAGAGGTTTTCCTCAGACTGGAGGGGGCGTGGTTTTGTGTGCTGCTTGCATCCCACGGATGGGGCTTTGCTTGTTTATGCAGACCGGTTGCTGGCATGCTGCAGTCCGGTACCGGTCCATGGACCCAGGGTTGGGGACCCCTGTTTTAGAGAACCTCAATGATGGAATATGTATCAGGAGGCAGGGAATAATAAAATAGAAGATTAAAAGTAAGTGAGCTTAAATACAAAGCAAGTTTGGAGGAATGCTTCAGAAGATCTGAACCATTCTGTTCACATACCCTATGAATTATATGAATCAACATGTGCTTTTTTTTAAATACTGACATTATAAGATGTATTTGCTTTCCTCCTATGTGGCAATCTATAATTTGATCTGAATATGTTATGCTTTGATGTAACCTATTTGGGACTTGTATCCTAAATATTTTAGGGAACAAAAAGCAACTTAGGATAGTGTGAAATGGTTTTGAAAAAGTGGTAAAATCCTTTTATCTCTGCTGTGATATGTTTATATTAATATAAACATATGTTAATAAACGTTATATTAATGTTTCTTGTAACACCTGTGTAAGATGATACGTTCATCTTACACAATTGTGTAAGATGATATGTTTGGTCTTTTAAGTAGGCAAAACCTTGCCAGTCATTTGTTTAAATATGAGAGAACAGTTGAATTTAGCCTCTTTTCCTTCCCTTTTACAAATATAAAATTAGTAGAGTTATTTCCAGTTACGATAAATTTAAGAGAGGAGTTCCTATTATGCAAAGCCCATTTGCAGTGGTGTTTCTAGATCCAGGTGGAAATGTTTTTTCCAAAATTCGGAAATATTCTGTAAAGAATCTTAATCCCTTTGTTTCCGATTGATTTTGAGAGTAGATCTTCATAAAAATGACAGTAAATCTGACACGTGTAAGTGAGGCAGAATTACTGCAAGAGGGCATAATCTGGTCCCATAGAGATATAAAATTAGTCTCCTTCACAGTATAATAGAACACAACATTCTCTTTACAGAGTGAAGCATGAAGTCTCTGGGGAAACTGTGATGTTCCAAGGCTCAGGTCTTGGCAAAACTCCAGATGGGTAAGCTCATTGATTAATCATGCTGTTTGTGAGCCATTGTGTTATTTCAATCTTTGGTGTAAGTATTACTAGTGATCTGCAAAGGTGCTATAATTAACTCCTGATATGTGCATATATCTGGGCTTTTTTTTTTTTTTAGGTTTTTTTGAGAAGTTTTCAAATCTCACAGAAGTCCAGTCCTAAAATTTCATGAGATTTCCTTAATTCCACATGATTTAAGACACTTTTTAAACAATCCTTCAATGGAATGTTTGAAGAGAATAATGGGCCAAATTTGACACTGGACAAGAAACTCCAACTGCTACTTTTAAGCACTTCAGCTTAAAAGTAGCAGTTGGAGTTTCTTGTCCAGTGTCAAATTTGGCCCACTATTCTCTCCAAACATTCCATTGAAGGCTTGGGCTTCTCCCCAGAAACCAGTTCCTGAAAAAAAAGGGCTAGAGCAGTGTTTCTCAACCTTGACAATTTTAAGGCATGTGGACTTCAACTCCCAGAATTCCATAGCCAGCAATGCTGGCTGTGGAATTCTGGGAGTTGAAGTCCACATGCCTTAAAATTGTCAAGGTTGAGAAATACTGGGCTAAAGTTCAGTTTTATGAGGAGCCATTGTTCAAAGGCACTTGGTTCGTCCTAGCAAAGTGATTCCTTGAGTCATGGGGAATGAGAAAATCATGAAATATTGATACCATTATGGCAAGTAACTAGAGGTGGGAAAATAAGGCTCTGAAATGATCAGGGGCAAGTGGGCCGTTGCCATTGATGTTGTTAATTCAAGTGTGGCATATTTTAACCAACCTGGTCCCTCCAATTTTTTCCTATGGAAGCATAAAGAATAGAAGGTGCTGCAAAGATTGGGAAGAACAGTTCAGTTGTATATAAACCATGTTTGCAGCGCTGGCATCAATAGTGGCAGTTAAGCAGAAGTTAGCAAAAGAAGATTGTCAAGCATGCCAGTGTCCAAGGTAAATGGAAAACAGGTTAGAGAAGTATAATACATCAGCCTTTTCACAAAAGCCCCTGTTCCTGTTTGTTATGGCTGAAACCCAGCACAACCAATATTTAGCTGGAACAGTTTGCCAGAACTTCCAAGATATAAAAAAAACATTTGCTCACCTGCATTGTGTCCAAACAGCAAATCTCTCGCAGTTGGGAACTGTGATCCTCTGTCTTTCGTAGCTGAGCATGGGCTAGAGCAGGGGTAGGCAACCCAAAACACTCGAAGAGCCACTTGGACCTGTTTCCTACCAAAAACAAAACACCGGGAGCCGCAAAACCCTTTTGATATCTAAAATGAAGATAACACTGCATATATCCCTTTTTACCTTTATTATAGGTGTGTGTGTGTGTATGTGTGTATATATATATATATATACATACATATATACATACATACATACATACATACATACATACATACATACATACACATACATTAAAAATAAAAGTAAAAATATGACTCTTGGGAATATCCATACTATTAAAACAATGATCACCAAGAGAATGCTTTAAGAGAATAAAATTACATACACACACAGGTAAAAAAAGGATATATGCAGTGTTATCTTCATTTTAGATGTCAAAAGGGTCTTTCTCTCTCTCTCTGTCTCTCTCTCTCCCTCCCTCTCTATCTGCCCTTGGTCTGCCACTCCTCTTCCCCCACTCTCTTTCTTTCTCTCTCTCTTTCCTCTCTCTCTGTCCCTCCCTCCCTCCCTCTCTTTTTCTCTCTCTCTTTCTCCCCCCCCCCATCTGCTGCTCACCTGGCAAGCTTCAAGCTGTTGTCCAACAAGCTCAGGGGTAAGCAACCTCGTCTCTTTTATGACTCATGGACTTCAACTCCCAGAATTCCTGAGTCAGCCTAGCTGGGCTAGCTAGCTCTCTCCTACCCTTCCTGCTTCCTGCAGAGATGCAGGAAAGGGAGGAGCTCCGCCCAGTAAGCTTTTCAGCTCCTTGGAGAACACTGTGAGTCCAATCTCTTTTACACACACACACACACACACAAAAAAAAAAAAACACAAACACAGAGAGAGAGAGAGAGAGAGAGAGAGAGAGAGAGAGAGAGAGGGAAAAAAAGCAGGGAAGCGCAATTGCCTCTCTCTGTCTCTGTCTCTCTCTGCAAAGGCAGAGGAGGCTGGGAGCCACAGGGGAAGGCTCAAAGAGCCGCATGTGGCTCCGGAGCCGCAGGTTGCCGACCTGTGGGCTAGAGGCAGCAAAGGTGAAACAAAGAGAATTGATGGCCTTACCACTTTTACATTTAGATTGTTACTGAAACCTCAAAAAATAAAGAGGGAACACAGACTCAAGCCCTTCCAAATGTATGGTTGTACTAATTCTGAAAGATAGTGGTTTGCTTATTTGATGTTACAGAAAAGGACTTTGAATTATTGCATAACAAATTCTGTTTAAATCTATATTTAAAATATTACTTTGAGCCCCCCCCATCTCTAAGTATCCTCTTATGATTTTTTGAGCAAAATAAGACATGTAAGAAATAGCATTAATCATTTGTTTTTGTTTTCCCAAGCCAGGGTCTTTCTACTTACCAGGAGCTTTGTTCACTTGCAAGTGACCTCAACCAGCCAGATTTGGTGTATAAATTCATGAATTTGGCCAATCATCATGCAATGTGGAATTCTCGGAAGGTATTTGCATGTAGTGGGAATGGTAGAGCATTAGAAACAAACAAACAAACCCCACATCTATGTTCAGAATAACTTTGAAAGAATGTATCTTCTATTCTGAATTCTGATCTGAAGCCCAACACTATGAGTAATTGCGATGAATCAGTTACAGTAAGAGCCTTATAGAGAAGAGCTGCTGATTCATATACAAAATACATAATGTTCATTTTGCTAGTGTTGAATATTTTCTGTCTGTTACCAGAATCCTGAATGAACATAAATGGTACATCTAAGTGTCATGTAATGATTTTTCTTTGTTTTTTTTCAGGGAGCAGCTTTTGGTTTTAATGTGATTGCTACCAAAGCTGGAGAACAGCTGGCTCCTTTTCTTCCTCAATTGCTTCCTCGTCTCTATCGATACCAGTTTGATCCCAATCTTGGGATTCGACAGGCTATGACTAGCATTTGGAATGCACTTGTTACAGACAAATCCGCTGTAAGTGAACACAGAATAATTCTGTCCCAATCTTATCACTATTTTTCATTGAGCAGTCACAACAAACAAAGTTAGCTGTAGGTTCTCTCTCTCAAAAAAAAAAAAAAAAAAAAAAACTTCAGCACATAGAGCAAAATCCACATAGGAAAATCCCTATGTCAGAATGATCTGAATTAATTTATCTATTTTGATGTCTTCTTGAGCTGTTTCTGAATGATAATGTATACAAAGGAGAAAAACGGTTTAAAGATAATTTTTGCATTAAGTTTCTGTTTCATTGTAGTTTGTTGTTGAGTTATAGGAAATCACCACTATAAATGTTCAGTTTCTTCACTTTTTTGGATGTGGGAATGCTTTTAATAGTTGCAACTGTTTTCTATTGGTTCAGGTGGACAAATACATGAAAGAAATTCTTGATGATTTAATAAGCAACCTGACTAGCAATATGTGGCGAATTCGAGAGTCGAGGTATGCATTTTTAAACTCAGTTCATTATTTAAATTAAAATAATTGTTTTGAAAAGCCATACTTTTCTACATGTCGGGTTTTCAGGAGTTATTTATGTAATTCTGTCAGTTATGTGAGCTGTAAATTTTGGAGCTTTGCAATTTTGGTGTTCAAATAATTGGAATTAATTCATACATGTTAGCAGAATGGCTTAATTATAAAAATATATATTACACAAATATTTTGTTTTCTACCATATGATTTAATTAAGATGTACTAAATAATTACATCTCTGGAACTTTTTTTGATATTGCTGCAAAGTACCATTTGTAGAATACCACCCATAATATTTAATTTAGAGGGGAACTGTATATAAATAGTTGTGCTAAACTACAGCAAATAAGCCTTGTCTTTGCAGGCTTATACATAGTTTAGTCTTCAGTTCTGCTGTGGCCGGGAGCAAGGAAATATTTATTGTGTTGTAGAACTAAGTGCATTGTAGTTATTGTTAAATATTATTTGTTTAAAACAGGTTGACTTAAACTATTGAGGCTAGTGATAGATGAAGACATGATCACTTAAAGTGTTTCCTTAGTAATAGAGAATATATTATGAGTACTAATGATTGTAAGATTGCAACTTGTTTTTCAAAAGGGAGCTTTAAAGGGGATTAATTCTACCATAAGAAATTTAGGCGTACAGGCATTACTGTCCGGCAATTATGTTAGTTCTTCCACATTTCTAAATAATCCATGTTTGGGGTAAATGAATTTTGTTTCATTTTATTGAAACTTCATATTACAGCTGTTTAGCACTGAATGACTTGCTAAGAGGAAGACCTTTGGATGACATTATTCATCAACTTCCAGAGATATGGGAAACACTCTTTAGAGTGCAAGATGATATCAAGGTAGTAAAAAGTTTCATTTTCTGGTATTGAGAAATTACTATAAACATTGCAGGCAAAGAAGAGCTCTCACAACCAAAACTGTTCCTGTGCTGTCTCAGATATTACGTTGGGAATTCCCAGAACTCAACACTCCTGAATGATCAAGCATTTGTGGTCCATTTTGGCTTTCAACCTTCATGGCAAAAATATCTGAGCTTTATGAATAAAAGGGAAATACTTAGAATAGAAAATGATTGTTCATTCTAGTAATTGGGCTACATTTTAAAAAAGTATCTATAGAGCATCAAAAGAGTCAGATAGGCATTCGTTTTGATTTAGACTCCTTCTTTTCTCCTTTCTGTAAAGCGGGGTTAGCATTATACTCTGCAAGCTTTATACATACCAACCCCTTAATATCCATGCGAATTTTTAATTATTATTCTGGATTCCCAAACAAGCAACTTTGTTTGAAAAGGAGATTTATATTTTCTTGAAAATATACATCATCGAGGCAGAATCACTCCATTAATAATATCTGAAATTAAAATTGGAAACTTAAAAGGAAAACTCTCCCTCTCCCCTTTTCTTTTTCAGGAATCTGTACGAAAGGCGGCTGAGTTAGCCCTGAAAACACTAAGTAAGGTACATTTTCATAATCACTTCAATAACTACAAGAATTGTACAACACTCCGTGATTCAGTTTGAGCCATAGTATAAAAAATATCTTCCGAATATCAGGGCTTCTAGTGCCATCTGCCATTTGCATGTTATCTATTCTTTTAAGGTGTGTGTGAAGATGTGCGATCCATCTAAAGGAATTGCAGGCCAGAAAACCATAGCTGTACTTTTGCCATGTCTTCTTGATAAAGGAATGATGAATTCGGTAACTGAAGTGCGGACTCTGAGGTATGTTATTCTTACATTTATTCACTCTCTTCTCATTTTTTTTTTCAAATCTCATAGCCAAAAACAATTTTAGCAGATGGGCTTTACCTATCATTCTTTCTCTTCTTAGCTGAAATGAAATAAATGAATCCAAGAAATATTTTTACAATAAATAAAATTTATAGATTCCACTATTGTAACTGCAACCACTTACTCTTATTGTGTTTCCCCGAAAATAAGACCTAGGTTGCTTTTTATGCGTGCGCTTAATATAAGCCCTCCCCTCCCCCAAAATAAACCCTAGTTAAGACCCCATCCACTCCATCCCACGGTCTGGTGGCATGAGGTGGGTGTCAAAGCAAGAATATTCAATAATAGCAGTGTTGACAGTGGGGCGAGACACATGCATAAAAAAATCAAGCTAAGGTGGGGGTGGACCTACCCCCCACGCCCCACACCCACTTACCTCAGGATTGCCACAGCCAGGCCTCCCGTGCCCCAACACCTGCCTCGCCACAGAGCTTTCTTCTGGGCTGCAGAGGCCTTTCCTGAAGGCCTCTGCTGGCAAAACTGAGGCCGGGGATGATGTGCGCAAATGGCAGTGAGTGGCCACAGAAGAAGTGGGCCGGCGGCAGCCATTGTTGGACAGGGTTGTTGGTGCCGTCGTGAGGCGAGACAGTGGGGAAAAAAAGACAACCCCCGAAAATAAGACCTAATGCCTCTTTTGGAGGCAAAACAAATATAAGACTGGGGTCTTATTTTCAAGGAAACATGGGTAGGTGGGAAAAAATCACGATTGTATCAGATAAAGAGTTCTACAGTTTCTACAACCAGCTATGAAAAGATCCATTCTAACCTGCTGTAGGCACAGCCACTGAAATTGGTAGACTTCTTGGTGGCATGGACATTTATGGCCTAGAAAGGTAATATAAGCTTCCTGGGAATTTGCTGCATTTCATTTATCTTTTGAACTACTGTACTTTGTTTTAGCTAATGGAAGTTAATTTCTGTAGCAGATTGTTTTCTGGCACCTGAACAATATCCCGTATGTGGTTGGATGGATTACTACTAGTGAAAAAGAATGCAAATGTGCTTGTCTTCCACTTTTTTATTTATAGCATTAACACTTTGGTCAAGATTAGTAAAAGTGCTGGGGCCATGCTGAAACCACATGCACCAAAACTCATCCCAGCTTTGTTGGAATCCCTGAGTGTTTTGGAGCCTCAGGTCCTTAACTACTTGAGTCTGCGTGCTACAGAGCAAGAAAAGGTAAGGGCACTTCTAAGTAAGAAGGTTTCATTTATAAAAAGCATTAGCTATTCTAGACTAAAGGCTGGGCTGTTGGGTTGATCTCGAAGCTTGGCGATTTGGCTGCAAACATTTCGTCTCCATTCGGGGGGACATCTTCCATGCACTTTAAATTGTCCTCATCTGTCAGAGCACTGGCCTTTAAATACCTTTTTGTATGATATAAATTGGTATGAATGTTATTTGTCCGGATGTTTATGAGTCATGGACTGGTTTCGAGCTGTTTGATTGGCTGGCTGTTGTTGCTGGGCCATAGTCCTTGGTGTTTAAGTATCGCCTGTGTGTTGCAAATGGTGTTTGCCAACCAAACAACCCAGACCATGACTCAGAGGCAACCAAACGAACAAAATACCATTTGCAACACACAGATGATACTTAAACACCAAAGACTATGGCCTGCAACAACAATCAGCCAATCAAATAGTCCAAAACCAGATCATGACTCAGAAACATCTGGACAAATAACACTTACACCAATTTACATAAAATAAGGTATTTAAAGGCCAGTGCTCTGATAGACGAGCACAATTCAAAGCGCACTGAAGATGTTGTCGTCCCTCCCTCCCGAATCGCCACGCTCAGAGAACAAACCAACAGCCAAATCACCAAGCTCGGAGAACAAACCAACAGCCCAGCTACCAACTCTACTAATATTCAAACACATCTCAGACTAAAGCAGTGGTTCTCAACCTTTTTAATGCCACGACCCCCAACCGGTCGTAAGTCGAGGACTACTCAACCGGTCGTAAGTCGAGGACTACTCAACTGGTGCAGCACCGTTTGCAGAATGGGACTTTTGGCGGGCTCAGCAGGGCAGAGACAGCCTGGACAATTCCTATTGGCTTTTGAAAGCAATAGAATTAGACTCTATTCAAGAGAGTCTATTCTATTGGCTTTCAAAAGCCAATAGAATAAAAGGGAGTAGCACAGCTAAGGAAAAGGGGGGGGGGGAAATGGTGGACTGCGTTGTTTGGCGACCCCTGTGAAATGGTCGTTCGACCCCAAATGGGGTCCCGACCCACAGGTTGAGAACCACTGGACTAAAGGCTGTCTAGCGGAGGTGGGAATGAGATTAAGATACATCATCAGTTATTTTCATAAGAGTTGAGATATCTATATAATATTTCATTTTTAATTAACATACATAATAAATAAGGTATATTTAATATGTACTTAATTTGTATATGCTATTTAGCTAAAATAAGCTCTGGGTTTAATAATTTTATAAACATTATTCCTCTTTTTTAAGGAATCTTTATTTGTTTTTTCAGTCTCTCTTAACATAATATTGCTTGCTACTCTGTATCCAGATATGCCTTCTGTTTTCTCTTGTCACCTTTTAATCTCTAGATTTTTTTAAATCATTTTTCTTTTTTATCTTTTAGGCTGCAATGGATACTGCAAGACTCAGTGCTGCTAAGTCCTCCCCAATGATGGAAACTATAAATATGGTAATAATTGGCTTTAAGAAAAGATTTATATGGTGAACCAAGGAAGAGTTCAAGTAATAATGAAATTATTCCGGTTAAGACTGATAGCAGAATATTGGTATTTCTAATTATTTCATTTAGGAAATTGTTCAGTTCTAATAACGTCTTGATTAATAACCCAGAAGAATTAGCCAAAAAAAAAAAAAATTCATGACCTTTTAAAACAGGCTAGCCTTCCTGGCATAACAGGGACGCAAATAAAGTAAGGGGTAAAATAGCCCTGAACACTCAACACCTGTCCCTCCCCCTGCACACTCACATATGCACACACACACAAAAAGGAAAGAAAATAGTGGTTATCATTTCTGTTTTTAGATAAGCTACACTTTGACAATGGAAGGCTAAACAGCCATTGATAGAAACAAAACCATTTCTGCAAAGAAAGTACTGGATGAAAGTGGATGTATTTTAAGTTGTTCCTGCTCCAACGGTTCTTCTTCCTGCAGAATGCTAACAAGCAGCTTGTGAGCAACAGTCTAGTAATCTGTTTTGCTATATTAATCTTGGATACTTTGATTTTCTTTTGGTTTGTTTCTCCAGTGCTTGCAATATTTAGATGTGTCTGTTTTGGGAGAGCTGATTCCCAGGCTCTGTGAACTGACTAGAAGTGGAATCGGCATTGGCACTAAGGTATTCTTATGCTTTATGAAAGAAGCGTGGTGCAGGAAAGTTGGGAACGATAAGCACATACTTAAATGTGCACAGCCACCTAAATATATCTCTTTATTTGTGTAATTATAAATATACAATGATTTTATCCTGTGATGAAAGTGAATGCAGTTTATGTAGACCTATCCAGAGATGAGATACTGACAAACTCAGAAGAGAAAGTCAGGAAAGGATGGTCATGTCTTATGCAGAAGGTGATGCAATTGTATAGCATCCATTATGCCTTCCCTGGCAGTGCTGTGGAGACTCTGGCATTGCCATTCTACTGAGATTAACAGTGACTGAATATGAGGAAGTCTTAGTGCTAGGGGAAGGATACTTGGGAGGGGCAGATAACTGGTGTAATTCAACTAAGCTGCCATTTTTAGATATTCTGCACTTGTAGTTCCTGCAAATAAAATTCGATAATGAATAATATGGTGGCTATTTCCTTGTCATTCATACTGTCAGAATTCTGACTAGCTGTCTGATTCTCTGTGTAGGTCGTCCTCATTTACAGACTGGCAACTCTGTTGCTAAGCAATGCAGTGATGAAGTGAAAATCATGTGACTTGTGCCTGACTTAACGATATTCGTTTGTCAGGTCATGGACGTGGTTGTTAGGTGAATCCCATTGGATGCCACGTGAACCACGCTTGCAACTTCCTGCCAGCTTGCACAATGAAAACAGCTATGAAAGTTGCAAGTGTTGATCGTGTAATCATGTAATGCTGTGACTGTTGTAAATGCACACCAGTTGGCAAGCACCCGTAATCACAGTCACATGACCATGGGGATGCTCCAGTGGCCACTACTTTGAGGACTAGTCCTAAGTCTCTTTTTTTCAGCACCTTTGTAACTTCGAATGGTTGCTATGTCGGTAAGTGAGGACTGCCTGTATTCATTCAGAGTAGCATCACTGAATTCAGTGTGGCTTGTTTCTAAGTAAATGTGCAGATGTAAGCTTCTTTTTTCACCCAGAAGAATAAACTAATCTCTGCCTTTCCCATTTTTACTCTTTTTAGGGTGGTTGTGCTAGTGTAATTGTGTCACTAACCACTCAGTGCCCCCAAGATTTGACACCATATGCTGGTAGGTTTTAGAGTCACATTTTCTTCCTTTTAAGCCTTGGCTGATTTACTCTTTTTCTTTTCTTTTTTTCCGTTTTGCAAATAAACCCCAAAACATTACTAACCTGCAAAAGATTTTCCTAATCTGCCTTAAGGATTTTAGACCTCTAACCTTTTATACAAGATAATTCTTTTTAAAAAAACAACAACTTTTCAACATAGTGGTGAAAGAAGGATAGATTGCTGCTCCTCCCATTAGAGGAGAGACAGAGGAAATTATTAAATATATAGCTGCTTTTCCCATTATATCAGACATGTCAAACTCGCGACATCACGTGACGTGCAACGTATCGGGACGGTTTTGCCATTGCCGGCAATGGGGTGGGCACGGCTTCCGGATGACTCATCCGGCCCATGGGCCAGCAGTTTGACACCCCTGCATTACATGTATTTAAGTCAGCACAAAGGCAGAAATCAATTCCTATAGTCAACAGTGATCTCTTTATTCAAACTAATGATTAAAAACCAGGACTACAGTATATGGAAACTTGTTTGAAGAAAATTACATTATAGCATTGGTCATCTGTCACTGTATTTTGTTGTTTTGAGCCATCAAGGTGTGTTGTAGCTGTTGGCGTAGTTGTGTAATACATTAAACCTTATCTTTTTTATTGTATTAATTGTATCAGAAGGTTTGGGAATTGACTTTCTACTTGTCTGCATAGAGACAGTTGATTGCTAAAATAATTTCCTCTCTTACATACCATAGGTAAACTCATGAGTGCTTTACTTAGTGGCCTAACTGATCGCAATAGTGTGGTGCAGAAGAGCTTTGCATTTGCCTTGGGACATTTAGTTAGAGTAAGTTATGCTTCCTCAGTTTTGAGACTTTTCTGTCTGGTTTTGTGGGTTCAGTAGTAATATAAGATTTTCTGGTTGTTTTTTTTAAGACTTCAAGAGACAGCAGCACTGACAAGTTACTCCAGAAGCTCAACAGTTGGTACATGGAGAAGGAAGGTATTGGCTTAAGAAAACTATTTTTAAAACATTGTAGAATGTTAAATATTTTTAAAATGTTTCATTCTTAGTAGCATATGTAATGGGTATGACATTGCTATTACTTTTGTTTTAAAATGCAACCTGGATAGTTTGAGAATTGCTTTTCTTTGCTAGCATGCTAAGCTTACTAAACAGCTCTTTCTCTTAAAATGCTTTCATCTCATATAGTGTTTGACAGAAAATGCTTATATAAAATCCATTCAGAGGTTTTGCTATTTAAACACTTTTACATTAACTTGAGTGTGACTCACTTGAAAATCTCTGAAAAGGCCGACTATCTCATTACATAAGCAGCTGGTGTTGATTTTAGATTGAAAAAGACCTTAGTTTAGCCTTAAACCCACTAAATAAGTGTTTTTTCCAGCTGTCTGTGTCAAAATTATTTTGATTTAATTTGTGAAACTCTTCTGTTCATTAATTTGATAGGTTTAATATGCAGAAAATATGAATAATATAGGTAGCTCTCAAGGTATGGCCATTGTAGCACTCCCACAGTAATGTGATCAAAATTTAGGTGCTTAGCAGCCTGTCCATACATACAACTGCAAGGGCGCTTCAATTCCCCCCCCCACCTATCTCTCCCTTTTGCCAAGCCTACACAACCGTACTCTGGCATCAGTATTGGGGCTGAAGTAGAGGCTTTTAGCAGTATTACCTGGCTGCTATTGACCGCCCTAGGCCTCTACTTCAGCCCCACTGCAGGCCGCCAAATATTGCTACCTCAAGCCCCATGTCACGGTACAAAACCCCCCACTGTCCCATGCTCCACAAGCCCTGCTGCACCGAGTTTGACCTTCAACATCTTCCCACCATAGACAAAGTGTGCCCAGCCTGGCCCTATAAGAGGCAGATGCTGACCATGCCAGGCCTTCTTCACGAGGTCGCTTGCACTGTTGTCCAAATACTGCACCCTGTTCTTGGGATGATTCAGAAGGCGTCAGAAGCTTTCTTATCTCTTCACCATCTTTGTCCCTTTGACCACCTTACACAGTGGCAGTCCTCACTGGCAGCAGTGGCACTGAGGTTGAAGTTGAGGCCTAGGGACACTGGTGACCACTGAGAGCCTTGGGGCTTTATTTTAGCCCCAGCACTGCTGCTGAGGAGAGCTGCAATGTAGGGCGACCAAAAGGGCAGAGATGGGGATAGATAGGCAGGTGGTGGGAATTCAAGAGGAGGCAGTCCTTTATTTGAGGGGCCCCCAAGCCCTGGATCGGGGACAGGTACCGGTCCATGGACTGTTAGGTACCAGGCTGCGTAAGCAGTGGGAAAGTGAGTGAAGCTTCGCCTGCACATGTGTGGGATCTAGATTGCATGCGAAACACACACACACACAGACACAAACACACACACAAGGTCTGTGGAAAAATTGTCTTTCATGAAACCAGTCCTTGGTTCCAGAAAGGTTGGGCACCACTGCCTTACCTTACTGAAGCTCAGGACTGGGAAAGACCAAGCCAGGAATTGCTTGGATTAGGATGAGTCCTCACCTGATGACCAGTAGAATTTGGTTAACGATTGCAATGGGGACTGCTGGGATTGCCATTACTAAGCAATGTGGCCACGTCCTATTTCACCTAACGACTGCATCGATCAGTGATCAAACTTTGGGTCATACTTAGTCTTACAACTTGACTCTTTGCAAAGTAATCATTGCTACAGTTTTATACTTGTTTTGACTTTTTGTTCAACATGCAGTGAAAAGAAGAAGCATTTTCTTATTTTTTTTTCCTCCAGGTAATTTTATTTCAGAATAGGCAAAAATCATATGAGTTCTATTTCATTTGCAGCAAGAGCATAGAACCTGCATTTCCTGAACTGTAGCATGTGTCCCTAGAGCAGTGTTTCCCAAACTTGACAATTTTAAGGCATGTGGACTTCAACTCCCAGAATTCCACAGCCAGCATTGCTGGCTGTGGAATTCTGGGAGTTGAAGTCCTCATGCCTTAAAATTGTCAAGTTTGGGAAACACTGCCCTTAGAGCCCTTCAAAATGTTGCTATTCATTTTTTAATGTATCAGGAGGAAAGAAGCTTTAAATTTATAGGAAATAATTATATTGCCATTATTTAATGGGTTTTACTTACAGTTAAATGTTATTGCAGTAAAATCTAATTTTTGTTTTTGTCTTGCCCACTTTTTTGGAACATGATTCTTGATACACCACTTGAAAGAGCAATGTAATTCTCCACCTAGTAAAAGTTATACATCTTTGATTTATAGACTTGCTTACGTCCCATATTTTCTAAATGACCAGAACTTTGAATAATGTTAAGAAAGCAGAACATTGAGCCCTGAGCTGCAATGATAGCAGGGAATCATGCTTTTCTCACTGTGTTTTTTATTTTAGAACCAGTCTATAAAATGGCATGTGCTTTAACGATGCATGCTATTGGACGCTACAGCCCAGATGTACTGAAGAATCAAGCCAAGTGCGTTTTGCCTCTGGCTTTTTTGGGCATGCATGAAATTCCTGAAGAAGACAAAGCAGAGAAGGAGGAAGGCAACCTGTGGACTGAAGTATGGCAGGAAAACGTACCTGGTAAGTGGATCTACCGTTCATGAACTTCGCTACTGTAGGACCACTTCATAGAATACAAATCCTAAAATAAAATAATGATCTTGGTCTTTGAAAGTAGAGGTTATGCAAAGTCCTCTTAGTTTATTTTATAATAATAATAATAATGATGATGATGATGATGATGATGATGATGAAGAAGAAGAAGATGATAATAATGTTGGAAGGGACTTTGGAGGTCATCGAGTCCAACCCCCTGTTCAGGCAGGAAACCCTATACCATTTTGGACAAGTGGCTGTCTAGTCTCTTCTTAAAACTTCCAGTGTTGGAGCATTCATCGCTTCTGGAGGCAGGTTGTTCCACTGGTTAATTGTTCTAACTGTCAGGAAGTTTCTCCTTAGTTCTAGGTTGCTTCTCTCCTTGATCAGTTTCCATCCGTTGCTTCTTGTCCTGCCTTCAGGCGCCTTGGAGAATAGCTTGACTCCCTCTTCTTTGTGGTAGCCCCTGAGATACTGGAACACTGCTATCATGTCCCCCCTCGTCCTTCTCTTCGTTAAACTAGACATACCCAATTCCAGCATCCGTTCCTTATATGCTTTAACCTCCAGTCCCCTAATCATCTTTGTTGCTCTTCTCTGTACTCTTTCTAGAGTCTCAGCATCTTTTTTACATTGTGGTGACCAAAACTGGATGCAGTATTCCAAGTGTGGAAAACCCCACAGATATCTCCATGTCATTATGTTGTTGTTTTTTTAAGTTATGCTCAGACTTGCTTTCTCCAAGTACAATTTGAACTGGGACTTTTTGCCTATTTATTCATTAAATTGTTAAATTAATTTCACTTATATTCTACCCTTTTCTCTTAAAAGCCAAACATAATATATACTCTTTTTAATTTTAATGTGCTTATTGTTTTCCTCTTTTATATTATTGTTTTATCAGATTGTAAACTACCCAGAATTGTGTGACAGTGAGATTGGCAATAATAAAAATAAAATAATAAAATAAAATGAAATAATAAAATTGTGGCCCAAAACCACAATGAATTCACTTTACATACTGAACTTTTGAACCCAGTCCAACGTTCAAAGGACCAGGCTGGCTCACGCCTTTTCACTTTTCCTAAAGCAGGAATCACTGTTCCAGGCTTCTCTCTCTCTAAATATTAGAGCAGTGGTTCTCAACCTTTCTAATGCCGTGACCCCATAATACAGTTCCCCATGTTGTGGTGACCCCCAACCACTTATATATCACCGGATGCCAGGGGCGTGGCCAAAGAAAAGGGGGAAAAAATGGCAGACAGCCTTGTTTGGCGACCCCCATGAAATGGTCGTTCAACCCCAAATGGGGTCCCGACCCACAGGTTGAGAACCACTGTATTAGAGGCTCTGTCCCCAATTTCTCTACAGGTAGTTCTTGGTTAACAACAACTTCTTCAGCAACTATTCAACGTTACTGTTGAATATGTGTTACTGAGGACCAGTCGTCAAAGTTTTGGCCGCTGCAACACCCCTGAAGTCACATGATCACAACCTGGGCACTTGGCAACTGGCTCACAATTAATGATGGTTGCAGTGTCCCGTCATCACCATTTGCAACCTTTCCTGTCAGCAGGAGAGGATGCAAGTTACTTCCCACCCTCTTGTTCTTTCAAGGAGCCCCATGCAACCCCTTCCCTGTCTAGCTGCCCTTGCACGGTGAAGCGGTACCCCCTCACGGGGCAGCAGCGTCCCCTCCTCAGTCCTCCTGCCATCACGTGGTGCAGCAGCGCTTGCTCTCTCCAGCCCGTGTACACTTGCCATCGCAAAACAGCACCTTCCCATCCTGCCTTTACTCCTATACTCACCTGTCCTCCAGCCTGCTTCCCTGTTAAAAACTCGCAACCCTCGCCTAATGATGACAATAGGAGCTGCCAGGATTGCCATCGCTAGATTCCATACTTTATAACCACATCACTTAGTGATGAAAACCCCAGTCCCAATTGCCACTGTTAAGTGAGGACCTCCCACATTTAACATCCGTTAGCGGTGGCAGTGGTTCTCTTATTCATTCTAGTAAATGCTGTGCATTTTGAAACATAGGTACCTATGGTGGCTTAAGGCTCTATATGGAGGAATTGATTGCAGTTACTCAGAAAGCTTTGCAGTCTCCATCTTGGAAGATGAAAGCACAAGGAGCGGCGGCCATGGCATCCATCGCAAAGCAGACTGGCGTTCTGGTGCCTCCACACTTAGGCATGGTGCTCGCGGCTCTGTTGCAAGGTCTGCCTGGAAGAACATGGGCTGGAAAGGTAAAAGCAGTGACCTGTGCAGTGGTTTGTTTTGGGGCTTAGAAGCAGACATTTAAAAAAATACTACAATTCTTTGCATTTCCTTTTTCATGACTGCCTGTAACTGGCTGAATGGCTTTTATTTTATAAACTGCCCAGAGGCCAAATAGGTGAGATGGGGGAGGGGGAGTGTTAAATTTAATAAATAAATAAATAAAATTTGCACGTTGTTGTCAAGTAGGTTCTAAAGTGCTGGGGTATACACTGTGAGTTTAATGGATCTGTGTTTGCAGAATCATTAATATACTAGTTGGTGTTTGATTTTAAAAAGAAATTCTAGGAGGCCAATTGGGAAAAACAAGTTTACTTTAGAAGGAAAAACTGTAATGTAAGTCAGGCTGAGCTGGCCCTGTTGTCGTGCACTGTTTTTGTTCTCTCTAGTCTTTCGCCCAACTGGATATCATTATAGTTCACAAACAAATGTTTATAAAAGATGTAACTTGCACATTTGTCGTGGTACTTCTAAATCTTTGTGGGGACAATATAAAAATCACATACTAACATTTATCTCTTATTTATAATGTTTTTAGGAAGAGCTATTAAAAGCAATTGCCAGTGTCGTCTGTTCATGCAGGTAAAAATACGTTCATCTCCTGGTCTGAAAGTTTCTCATTGGTTTGGGGATGAGATAAATTTCCTCATTGATTCCTAGAAAAGTACTGAAGGGACTTTAGGTATTACTACAATCTCTTGACTTTCTTAAAATATTGGAAGTATTTTTAATTATTTTTTTTAAAAAAGAAGTGAACTAGAAGATTTCTTTCTTTTTTTTTACAAATTTTATTAAATGTACATTTTAAAAACAAAAATGGACAGGATTCAACTTCCCTGGCTTTAACAGTGCTATTAGTATTACCTTATGTTACAGAAAGAAAAACAGAAACTTAAAATACATTTTATAACAGGACAGAGTATAACAAACTGTGCGTATAACATCTGCAAATTTTTTGATAAAGCATCTTTCAATCATCAACGTATTTACATATCATTCAGTTGTGTCCTAATATAGGTACTAATAAGAAGTCCTTATAATGTCAACTAGTCAATTGATAATCATCTCAGCGATCCTCCTTATCTCTAACCAATCGTACAAATTTTTCCAAATTTCATAATACTCTGTTTCAGTTTTATTGTTCATCTCTAGAGTTAACCGGTCCATTTCAGCACAGGATAAAATTTTATTTATTATTTAACTAGAAGATTTCTTGTAATCGTTAGGACAAATGAAATTGACTTTAGTGTAGCGGTTAAGGCACTAAGCTAGAAATTGGGAGACCATGAGTTTCAGTCCTACGTTAGGCATAAAGCCAACTGGGTGAGAGTTGTTCCTCTGTCCTAGCCCTAGGAAAGAAGCAATGGCAAACCACTTCCAAAAACCCTCTTCAAGAAAACTGCAAGTCAGTCAAGTCCCCAGGAATCAAAAACTGACTTAGACATCTTCCCCCCCCATGGATGTTAAATAAAAAGGATGAAGTAGGGAACAGAGAATCACATTTGAAATGCATGTACATTCATATATCCAACACACGTCTTCTATATTTACAAGTATTCCTTATATAGATATCCATAATTCATTAAACAACCAAGGAGATACACTCCTTGTTCAATGCTGAACCTTTACTTAGTATTCTGGGTTTTTCCCACAGATGCTTTACACAGATACTATATTATTCTTACGGCATTCAACAAGGAAGTTTCAGCTCCACATTTGTAAAAAAATATTTCATAATTACCGTATATGCCGGCGTACAAGGCGACCCGGCATATAAGACGACCCCTGTTTTTATCGCCGAGCCGCATTCCTAGAACGTCGTCTTATACGCCGGAAACTACCAGTATTTCCAGCGTATAAGACGACTTGGCGTATAAGACGACCCCTGTCTTTGGCACCGATTTTAGCGCTCGCGGAAGTCGCCTTATACGCCGGCATATACGGTAATTCTTATTTACTTTATCACGTGTTTTCTCTAAATCAACAAACATACAGCCTTATTTTTTTGCAATTCTTTCCCCTTTGCTCTTCAGGGGAATTTGTAAAAAATAATGCTAACTCTATGTTTGTTGATTTAGAGAAAACATACGATAAAGTAAAGAAGAATTAATTATGAAATATTTTTTACAAATGTGGAGCTGAAAGAGCAAAGAATCTGCCCAGCATAAAGCTACATTGCACTTCCCAGATTTTGCTCAGTGAGATTTTTCATTGCCTTTTAGTCAAAAAATCTGCCAGAAATCATCCTAAGCACATTTTATAAACTAATTTCCTGTAGTTTCTGCATTTCTGCTTGCTACCTTTCCTTTTTTATGGGTGAATAGTAATGGCAATATTCCAGTCCAAAGTAGCCTTTACACACAGGTAAAACTAATTACAACTCTTCTCAATTATATCATCTACACTTATAGCTTGATCCATTTTCAAAATTTTCACAGCATTTATGATTTCTTTTTTGTCATTTTTTTTCTTGGATATCAACATTCATGCATATTTCCATTATTTGATATTTGACAATTATTTTTATACAGATTTTTAAAATATTTCTTCCAGCATTCTCTCACATCAGTTTTATCCCAAATCATTTTGTTGCTTTAATTTTTAATTCTGTTTACTCTTTCTGGGAGCTTACCCCTCTTCAACTACTTTCAAAACAGTCTTTTTCCATGAACACTATATTTTTTTCTGCCTCTTTTGACCTTTTCTGTTTCTTGATCTTTTTGATTATCATTGCAATTCTTTTTCTTTTTATGTAAACTATATTTCTCTCATTTTTGCAGCAATTCTTCTTTTAACATGCAATTTTTCATCATTTGCTTCTTCACATCATTTACATCATTCCACCAAGCAGTTTTTTCATGTTTCCTATTAACATAATTCCATATATGCACATACCACTCTTAACATAATTCTTTGCACCTTGTTCCAAAAATCATCTTTCCATATGCCCATTTTCCATTTTTTGGAGGGGGCTTTTAATCTGTCTTATATTTTTTTTTCATACTGGATTCATATTTTTCTTCCTACATTTGTCCTGTTTTACTTTTCCTTCTTTTACCTGTTTCCTTTTCTACTATGTTCATTTCCCCCCCAAAATTCCTGATATCACCAAAAATTCTCCCATACAACATATCTGCCTGATTTTTAAAATGTTTCTTAAATTTTGCAGGGCTCTGTCTGCAAGTAAAACTGTTGCAATAAAATATTTTGCAAGGTTGTGTCCCAACATACACTAATTCCACTAGATGTGTGTTTTGATTATTTCACTGGTATTCAAAACAAAACATTGCATGTGTATGTGATAGTGGACACAGACTTTTCCAGCATATTTTATTCTAGTTATTCTTAATGCCAATATACTAGTGATTTTTTTGCTGCTGATCAACAGTGTTCATTAGCTGCTTTTTCAAAAATTCAAAGCATTTTACAATAAGATGCCAAGTTGTCTACATAGCCACATGATAGGTTTTAAGTACTTAAAGGGAATATGCACATTTTGCAAGAGAATATACTTAGAGGGTGAGCTAGATTAAGAGGCTTGGTGTAATATCAAGGAGACAAATAGATCAGTCGTGTCCTGTTCATCCTTTATTGATTTTAGTGTGGAACTGCGCAAACCTTTGCCCAACCAGCCCAGTGTTGATGATGTCGTACAGGCAATGCTGAAAGAATGCCGTAAAGAAAACCTACGGTACAAGATTGTAGCGCTCCGATGTACGGCTGATGTGCTTAAGGCTACACAGGAAAATAGGTTCCAGGAACTGACAGACATAAACTTTCCAGTAATAAAGAAGGTGATCTATCAGCCCTCCTTGGATTGGAATAATAGCATCACTAAAAAATAGTACATTTTTTGGATTTGCTAGTTCTGTGAATTGTTCTATGTAATCCATATAAAAAATCTTGTAAGTCTGGCTGGGGTGTTGTGAAAAGCGGGGAGGACATCAAGATTCCCCACTGAGGTCAAAGCAAAAAAAAAACAACTTAGTTTGCTGCTCATTCTTGCTTTTAAAAAGCTTACTATTCAGTCTGACCAAAGAAGAACTAGCAAGCTGTTTAGAATTTTTATACAGCTTTACCAGCTGGTGCTATGGTGATATATGGCACAGCGGTTAAAATGCCATATTGCAGGCTGACTCTGCCCACCACCAACAGTTCAATTCTGACTGGCTCAGGGTTGACTCAGTCTTCCATCCTTCTGAGGTTGGTAAAATGAGGATCCAGATTGTTGGGGGCAGTATGCTCGCCTTGTAAACTGCTTAGAGAGGGCTGTGAAGCAATATATAAGCCTAAGTGCTATTGCTATTGCTACATAGCAGAAAGACCTCATACAAAATTGCTTCCTGGCTAGAGGAAGCCAGAAATTTCTAATGCATTTGTACTCCTTGTTTCTGAAGACTTGGTCTCAATCCTATATTATTCTTTGGAGAACAATCAAGTGAATCAGCCCTTTATATCTCACCCTCTTTGAAGGATGCTGCTTTCAAATGGGTTGTAAATCCTTCATAAAGATAGGGCAAATGGCAGCTAATGCACCTGTGGCAGAAGAGCTGTTTTCAAGTTTCTTAATATCCAGTTAGGGCAGTGGTTCTCAACCTGTGGGTCGGGACCCCATTTGGGGTCGAACGACCATTTCACGGGGGTCGCCAAACAACGGAGTCCGCCATTTTTTCCCCCTTTTCCTTAGCTGTGCTACTCTCTTTTATTCTATTGGCTTTTGAAAGCCAATAGAATTAGACTCTCTTGAATAGAGTCTAATTCTATTGGCTTTCAAAAGCTAATAGGAATTGTTCAGGCTGTCTCTGCCCTGCTGAGCCCGCCAAAAGTCCCATTCTGCAAATGGTGCTGCACCAGTTGAGTAGTCTTCGACTTACGACCGGTTGAGTAGTCCTCGACTTACGACCGGTTGGGGGTCGTGGCATTAAAAAGGTTGAGAACCACTGAGTTAGGGTTTTGGGGACACTTCTATCTTAGTAGAGTTCCATAAAATTTTATTTTTTCTACACTGATTTCTAGCTTTTTATTTCCTTTCCTGACTTTCTCTTCAGCGAATGTAATTGAGAGCCTAAAATTGTGTGAATATACCTTACCTAGGGATCTGTCTCTTTATGAGGCAAGTATGACTAGAGTGACTTCTTGGCTGGACTGTGAGATTAAGGAAATGGTCCCTGCCATCAGCTATCACAGTGGTTCTCAACCTTTTTAATGCCGCGACCCCCAACCGGTCATAAGTCGAGGACTACCCAACTGGTCGTAAGTCGAGGACTACCCAGCCGGTCGTAAGTCGAGGACTTTCCCTGCCCGGGAGCGCCGCGCATGCGTGGTGCCGCCCCCTGCGCCAGCCGAGGCGTAGCTGGCAAGCAACAGAGACGGAGCAGGCCGACCACCAGCTGGGCCGCCAGCTGGCCCAGCCCAAGGGAGGTAAGGCACCCGCCGGAAAAGGGGAAAAAATGGTGGACAGCCTGCTTGGCGACCCCCGTGAAATGGTCGATCGACCCCAAATGGGGCCGCGACCCATAGGTTGAGAACCGCTGAGCTATCAGATTTAAAACATTATTTTTATCAGTATGCTAATTAAATTTGGCAAGTCTAGTCTCCTGCAATAGAGATGCTGTGATTAGCTTTCATGTAAATAAAATGTTTTACATTTCAGTATATTAACTCTGAATGCTTTGTTACTAACAAAATGTAGTATAATTTAATGGAATTGCTGTCTGGATGTTTGTAAAAAGAGAAGTATAAAAGCTAAATCATCATTTTTTTTTTCCTTCTGCTTGCTCTTTCTCTTTCAAATTTCACACCCTCTGGTTCCACTGCAGAATTATCCTGGGAATGTAGGAACAAATTCGTCACAGGACTATGATGAGGATGAGAACGAAAATGAGAAAGAACTGCAAGTTGAAGCCCTCCTCTGTGCCTTTGAAAGCTTAGGCAAAGCCTGGCCTAAAAACTCAGAAACACAGTGTAGGTCTAATTCCAGTAATTTGAACTATTTTTATCTTTAAAACAAAGCTGTTGCAAGAGCTCATAGGAGAGGAAGGAAACAATTTCATTGTATTGGTTCTTGGTTTTGTGGCAGTTCGTTTTGTATTTTTTTTTAAATAATATCTTATGATTTAACCTAAATATAAGCATGGTAATAAGTGGAGTGAGCTTTTTTTAAAAAAAAATTCAGAAAGGAAGCAGCAAAAAGGGAAAGATTAGAATCTGAATATTTCAAGGGACAAGCCAAATGTTGTCCTTTGTTCTTAGGTTCCTGTCTTTTGTTCCTGACCCTCAGTTTTCTTTGAAGCTATATTTAAGTTACTGGGAACAGTAAATCTGCTTGGAAAATAATAATTAGATTTATTTGGGAGATTTTCCTCCAGAACATAGATGGGTGGCAAGGATAAGGGACTGAGAAAAAGGAAGTCAGAAGAGGAGACAACAACCAGAACACATTGTAGTTCTGACAGGAAAGTCATTCTGGCTTCTGCCCCCTTTAACAACCCAAGTGCCATTATCAGCTCTTCCGAGGCTCTTATAACGAAGCATTGAGAATTGTCAGTGTGTAAATTGTCTATATTTTGGTCTCTCTCTCTCTCTCTCTCTTTTTTTTTTTTTTAAAAAAGGCTGCTATCGACAAGAGCTGTGCAGATTAATGTGTGAGCGTCTAAGACTTGGTACATGGAAAGTACAGCTCGGCGTTCTCCAAGCCATGAAGGCTTTTTTCCAAGGGTAAGTTTTCTGTGGGTGCTGGAGCTGCTGCTTTTGTCCTTGTTCGTTCAGTTCCCCCCCCCACACACACACACACAGTAGCATGTGGAGATGGAGAGATTCAAAATCCTTTCCCCAAGCTTTGTGGATCTCATTGCCTCTTCTCCCTACCTGCTTCCCCTCACTGGCATGAGGAAACTGGCATGTTTTAAGTAAGGAGCAATGTATGTGGGATTGAAATTTCAAGTTCCACAAAGCTCAAATAACTGTGTGTGTAGCATCTTTGGTGTTTACAATAGCCACATGGAAGGCCTCTGAGGATTGCAGCTCAGGTAGAATTTTAAGACGGTAAGGCCCTGTGCTCTTTGAAAAAAAATGATGCTTATATTCTTCCATTTGATAGGTTATTATTGTTTGAAGCAGAACACTCTGACCCTGAGGCTTTGGGAAGAATATTGTTGGAAACCTGTTCCTCCATCACTCACTCACTAGGTAAAATGTATTTTCAGTCATGTGCTTTCTTTGTCCACTCGTTCTAAAGTTTAATGAACAAAGGAGAGAATGGACTATTTCGTGCTTTTCATGTTTCCTGACTCGCTCGTGGAAAGGTTATTTGCTTGATGCAGGTAGCAGTTCCTGTATGACCAGATAAAATTTTAAAATTGACCTGTTCTCTAATAACATTTATTGTTTGAAACTTAAATTTAACTACCGTATATTCCGGCGTATAAGACGACTTTTGAGAGCGATGAAACAGCCTCCGAACTCGGGGGTCGTCTTATACGCCGAGTCGTCTTATACGCCGGAAATAAACGTTATTTCCGGCGTATAAGACGACTTTCTAGGCATGCGACTCGGCGTCTATCATCTTATGCGCCGGAAATAACGTTATTTCCGGCGTATAAGACAATCGACGCCAAGTCGCATGCCTAGAAAGTCGTCTTATATGCGACTCGGCATCGATCATCTTGCGACTTGGCGTGATCGTCTTGCGACCCGGCGTCGAACTCGGGGGTCGTCTTATACGCCGGGTCGCCCTATACGCCGGAATATACGGTAAATAGAATCTTCCAAAGATTCATTGTGACAGCTGACTGATCAAGCATATGACTGCTTCTTTGACCAGCGTAGCAGGATTTGTGCATGTCCATATTGTGTCTTTAAGATGTTTTCTTATTTGGATGCTCTGCTTGCTGGATAGATGTAAGAAAGTTTGGAATTTCAACATTCTGCTTCTTCACAACTTTCTAACTAAGAGAGAAAGATTGTCCCTGTCTTACTTACTGTCAGATGCACTAGATAGACCAGAGCCATGAAATTAAGTATCCTGTAACTTATTTTTTTTTATTGAGAATGGCTAAATAACAGAATCTTGCAAATCTGATTTTGCAGTACCTCTTTCTCCTCCTTATAGTTCAGGATCAGGAAGTTCTTTGTCTGAGACACTCCGAAACAAATCAAACATGTTACCTGGACACTCTAGGTTTAAAAATTGTTTTAATCTTGTTGCCTTGGCAGTGGAGCCTGCATATCCCTGTCAAGGTCATATTCCTTGCTCTCTACCTACAGGTAGTCATTTAGTGACCATTCAAAGTTACGACGCACTGAAAAAAGTGACTTACAACTGTTTTTCATACTTATGACCATTGCAGCGTCCCCATGGTCACGTGATCAAAATTCAGACGCTTGGCAACTGATTCATATTTATAACGGTTGCAGTGTCCTGGGGTCATGTGACCCCCTTTTGCAACCTTCTGAGAAGCAGAGTCAGTGGGGAAGTCATTTTCACTTAACCACTGTGTCAAGAAAGGTTGAAAAATGAGGCAAAATTCACTTAACTGTCTTGCTTAGCAACAGAAACTCAATTGTGGTGGTTAAGTCGAGGATTACCTGTATATGTAGGGAGGTCAGCCCACACAGGCCAAGAGCTATTTGTCCGTGACACAGTATGAAGAGGTAGGTTGATATGATTTAAGGATCTGTCCATATAGCATTTCATACTGCTAAGAGAATATTTTTATTAAGAAAAAGAAACTTTAATGATGCAGAGGACTGTATGTACCTGCTATCCTTTTTTTATGTTAGGACAGAGATTTGATAATTTGGGAGCCCAGGGCTTCATGCAGCCTACAAAAAGCTTGGGCGAAGCCCCTAGGGATTTCAAACGCTATACTAATTTATCATTAATCTGACAAAACAAGAGAATTATTGAGAGCAGACAAAGAGAGTAAATTACATGACTTATGTTTACCTTAAATCATATTACCTGCAAATTATAAATTATGTCAAACTCCGTTTTTGTCTTAGCTAGCACCAATTACTCTTTGGTGGATAGTTCCCAAAACTTTATGAAACACACAGAATAACCTAGACCAGAAGGATCATCTACATTACTTTATGTGGATAATGTATAAGCCAGTCATTGGAAATCATCTAGACATGCAACTGTTACTTACCTTTGCAAGTTCATTTCCAACCAAAATCCATTTATTTGTCACTGTTCAAATAACATTATTTGAAGAATAATTCAACAATATTATTTAATAATAATGCAATCAATTATTATTAAATATATGATAGAATTGAGGTTAGGAGAAAGTAAAAATTGAGATATTATATGACTCTCAAGTTATATAAATTCTTCATATTAGTATTTCTGGCATAAAACTGTTTTATAATAATAATAATAGTAAAGTTGGAAGGGACCTTGGAGGTCATCTAGTCCAACCCCCTGCTCGGGCAGGAAACCCTACACCATTTCAGACAAATGGCTATCCAGTCTCTTCTTAAAAACTTTTGTTATACACATAATTTGTATTCACCATTTTAAATGTAAATCTTATTCCATTAGAGAATAAAAGTTACACTTCCATAAGAACTGAAGCTTTATCAGTAATAGAGGTGCTGCTCACTAAACTTGAAGGTAAGAATTACTGAAAATTAAGATTATTCCTTAAATCAAAAGGCTGAATGCTGGAGGACAGGATTGTATCCCATTTTGTTTTAAAGAACAATTTTGGCCAATCCGATTCCTGTTTTGTAACTTAAGATGCAGATCAGTTGCTTGACATAATCACGCTTGTTTTTATTTTGTTTTGCAACTAATTTTTTAAAAAACATTTGATATTCTGAAAACCATATGTTTTGCATATTTGAGATGAGGCCAAGTTAGAAAATTTAATTAATAGGAAAGTTTCAATAGGGAAGAAACATAGCATTGTCCTTTGAAATTCAGGACGTACAAAATTTGCCATTACCTTTAGTTGTATCTAGAACACCACAGATACATTTGCGATCGGGAAAAAAAAAACATAGAAATTAATTTGAAAGACAGTAGGCTTTCTAATCTATGCCACATGGCAAAATTGGTTCAGCTTGCCCATTGCTTTAAGATCTAGATGAACTTGGCATTTTTTAAAACAGCAAACATTTCAAGAATCGATGATTAAAGTAATACTTTGAATAGTGCCAAAAATGATCAAAATCTGTTAACCATTATAAATGTAATGGATTTCTACATTTTGGACAAGGCATTATTAGCCCTAATTGTAATCCTGAATGGGATTTTCTGGTCATTAATTTGTTTTGGACTCAGTCAGGCATGCTGCCCTAACCTTTAGATGGGGGCTTGGGCATAACCCAGGTTATTGATATATATATATCAATCACACAATGGAAAATAAATTTTCTCTTGAAACAAAAGTTGATCATGTTTCAGAAATTTTAGTCAAACTATTTTGGATTAACTGCAGTTTGGCAGAAACAAGTTCCAGAACAAAAAGAACCGACTGAGATCTAAGCATAGCAATAGCAATAGCATTTAGGCTTATATACTGCTTCACAGTGCTTTATAGCCTTCTCTAAGCGGTTTACAGAATCAGCATATTGCCATCAACAATCTGGGTCCTCATTTTACCGACCTTGGAAGGATGGAAAGCTGAGTCAACCTTGAGCCTGTGAGAATCGAACTGCTGGCAGTTGGCAGAATTAGCCTGCAATACTGCATTCTAACCACTGTGCCACCCGGCTCTTATAAATATTTTACACATCTCTATTCAAATGCTGTACGGAACTTAAGTCATCTAAGGAAATAATGATTTTGATTCATTGAGAAAAAGAAGAGTAAATAGTAAAGGAGTATTTTCTTTGTGCCTCAACATTCTTCCAACATTTTGTTTCACATAGTTTTTTTATGCCTATAATTAGGAAAAGAACACGACTCTTATGATCTAATTATTGACTGTATAATTTAATATAAGTGTGTTTGAATGTATATTTTAATGCAAGCTTGTTTTCCATTACATCCTTTACATCCAAAATTCTGATTGATTCCATGTACTCTAAATGGATAAAATATTAACACAAGCTTTTAATTATTGTAGTTTTTATTTCAATTTGTAATTCTACAAAATAGCCGAAGTTGTCTTACAACGGGTTATCGAACATCAAAAAAGTTATATGCTGTTATTTTCATCGCCATTAGGCAGAGCGAGGTTGCATTATTCAGAGAGAATTTCCCATCAGTTGAAATTTGATGGGGGGGGGGAACGTTTAGATCAACTGTCTTTTCACCATTATCAAGTGATATGAGTATGTTAGTGATTAAAATTGTGTTTTAATTATTAGAATCCATTCTAAGAGCTGTTAGCTGAAAATGCAACTGGAAAGGTAGATGACGATATTCCTTCTTTTCCCTTTTCTTGTGTAGAATCCAAACAGTGGGAAAGCCTGAGCACTGAAAGTAGAGAAGTCCTCATTGGCTCTTTAACAGCATTGACTTTGGACAGTAGGCCTGAACTACAAGAAAAAGCATCTTTATTAAAGAAAACTTTAGAAAATCTTGATTGAATTGGATACCAATCAAGTGTCATGTAAAACAAAGCAAGCAAGCAAAAAAAAAAAAAAAAAAGTGCAATGAGTTCCGAATTACATAGAGGAAAAGTAAAGATGATTTTTGTAGCATGCATAAATTCCCTGGCTGAAATAAAGAACACCTTGATTCTCTTCCCCATTATTTCCTTTTTTTCTTAAAAGTAACAGTAACAACCTATGAAGCAGTTTACTTAAAATGCAAGCCTTGAAAGTATTAAGCAAAAAATACCCAAACTACATATGGATATTTTTTGAAATTCTCCGTTTGTGAAAAAGCACCTTGTTTGGAGTTAGATTTGGAGAATCTTTAGTTTACACAAAAATGGCCCTTATTGTATACACCTAATGAATGAAAACCATAAGAAAACACCAGAGAGCAAACTTTTTGTGGATTTCATGTGGGCCAACTTCCAATATTTATGTCACGATGGCAGTATTATAATTGGTATCATTACTAATAATAGTACAAAAAAGAAAATTTGCCAAAAATATTAGAGAGCAGCAAAGAGTAAGAGTTTTGTATATATTTTTATTGCAGCTAGTGAGTACCTGGATTTTTTATCCCAAACCTTGTAGGATTTTTTATCCCAAACCTACCAAATCCTTAAAGCATGGGTGTCTAACCTTTTAGCGTTGAAATTGTCTTGGGCTGCATATAAAATATAGTTCATGTATAAAAATAACAAACTTCCTTTGAAAGTTTAAGACCTTGTGGGCTGCAATATTAGCTCTGCGGGGCTGCATATGGCCCATGGGCTGAGGGTTGAACATGCCTCCCTTAATGGGTCTCAAGTTAGCCTCTGTTTTTGGAATGCCACTAGTCAGTGTTGGTTGCTTTGGACCATAAATATCACTTCATCTCATATAAACCATATATAAGATTTGGAAAAACCTATGCCTTCCCACATTAAAAGATGTGACTTCTCCTGGACAGAAATGCACACAAGAAAGCACTTTAATTGTCTGGATATAAGGGTGAATAGAGCAGTTAGGTTTGTAAGACCTTACGTTTTTAAAGAATTTTTTACATTTTCCAAGGAAGAATTCATAGTTGAATTAACCCTCTCACAACAATAACCACTTACTTATTTTGGGCAATACTGTTAAATAAAATAATATTGTGCTGCTAAAACATTATTAGCCTCAGTCCCAGCATTTGCATCTTCTTTCTAGAAAGTACTTTTGATTTTTGCTGTAAGTTTTGACACTGCATGCATCAGAGTAAAAATGTTGTCAACTCTGTTCTTGCAATTAACTGAAAAACAGCATTTGCTCCAATTTTAATAAAGATTTCTTAGTGAAATTGGATAACATTGCAATCTATGTAGAGTTATATTAAACAGATAAGAGAAAGTATTATGTAAAAATCAATATATTACTGATAAGATTTTTCATGCTAAATAAATTGTGGGCTTTGAAAATCTAGATGTAGGAGGACGTCTTGATTTCTGTATGGAAATTCTTATATATTCTATGTGGGAATTTTGGAACATACAAAACTGGCCTCTGAAGTAAACTATATACTTGGGGTCTACTCCTGTAGTATTTGAGATTAGGCCAGACCATCAGTGAGTTTTGAAGCTACCCAGGAACCTTCCGATGGGTTAGTTTAGGACAGTGTTTCCCAAACTTGACAATTTTAAGGCATGTGGACTTCAACTCCCAGAATTCCACAGCCAGCGTTGCTGGCTGTGGAATTCTGGGAGTTGAAGTCCTCATGCCTTAAAATAGTCAAGTTTGGGAAACACTGGTTTAGGGGTCCCCAACTCCTAGTCCGTGGACCAGCACTGGGCCACGGCATGCTATTAACTGGGCCGCACAAACAAGCAAAGCCCCATGCTTGGGATGCAGGCAACATGCAAAACCACTCAGCCTCTGGTCTGTGGAAAAAACTTTCTCCATGGAACCGGTCCCTGGTGCCCAAAAGGTTGGGTTAGTTTATTAACCAATATTTTGGGATTTTAAAATTCTCAAAATTGTTATCTATATACATCTTGATTGTTGCATTAACAATTAGTATACAGATGTAAGAGCTGACAAAATCATTGCAACTTCATAATTGTCTTAGATTTGCATCCTAATATTACCCCATATCCGAGCTTGGAATGATTTTTTCCAGTAAAAATTCAGAAATTCTTACTTTGTGGAGGGAGTGCTTTTGTGCTGTATGATTATACGATAGATGCAAATGAACAAGGTGTATGTTCTGAGTAGAATTAGAGAAACTTTGATTCTCGGGCATGAAGGCCTCTCAGTCCCCGACAGGTTTGCTTTCTCTGGAGTTGAAATAGGGAATGCTGCTGTGTCCATCTTTCTTCTTTACCAACTTTGGTCGGGGTGGTACCTTCTCTCTTCAAAAATACAGTAGGTTTCAGGAAAAGGAATCTGGAGATTGTTGCATGCTGCTGCCCAGACATTCAAAAGCATAAATAACTCTCTTCTCATATTCATGTTACCTCAAGAGGGACAGTGGGATCCCATTCTTGATGTCCCATCAAGTTTTTAGGGCTGCTGGAATACGTTAAGAATTTGAAATAAGCAAAGAAATGGCTTATGTCATTGGACTGCCTTTTAAAAAAAAAAAAAAAAATAGCCTTCTCTAATACCTGTAATTAAAAAATGGTAAAGTACCATAAACTGGTTTAAAAAAATTTGATGTGTCATAGAAGGCAGCTTCCTATTGACTTTGCCAGGCAGAACCATAACACTGAATGTAGGTACAAGATCTGTGATTCTGTTCAGCAGCAGCTTTTTTTTTGTACTAAGCAGGAATGTCAATTGTTGCCTTTTTTCCTCAAGTGTTTTATAGAAGCCATGACAATTGTAAAAGTGCTAAGTCTCCAGACTTTTCAAGCAAGAACTTCAATATTGAGAAATCTAAAGCCCAAGTTTGCAAGCAGCTGCTGTGCCAGACGTTTCCAAGTGAAAATGTTGTTTACTTATGCTGAAGATCTGGGGGGGGGGGATTAGCTAAAAGTATAATTTTAAATAGTTTGAGATTTGTTTTCCCTCTTCCAAATTTATTAACAAAAAAACGTGCCTCTCTGAGAAACCAACTTATTTTATTTAGAGGCTAGATACTTGTCCCTTGTTAAATTTGTGAACTTGAAAAGGAAAAAGTGGCCTTTGGAGTTTCCTCTGAAAACAATTGCACTATAAAACACTGTTGCCCAAATACGGGCATCTGTGCTGTTATATAATGCTGCTTTGTATACCTGGATTAAAGTGTGAAAATTTGACTCTATAATACCCCTGCTGACTTTACAAAACTGTTTTATGTTGAACGATTTCTAATGTCGCAAGATCTTCATTAAATTCAGTGCATTGAATTTTTGTATCTGGATGTTGAATATGTACATGAATTGACTAAAAACTTTTTCCTGGATAAGGAGAAACATTAAATAAAAAAAAAAGGAACATGAGCGTTCTTGGAATAATTGGTAATTCTGTTGCTAGAAGAGCCTACAGAGTGGATTATCTCTACTTTGCTCAACTGTTCCTCTTACATCGGGTTTCCATTTTGAGGATTATGTGGTGTCTCTTCGTGGTCTTTACAGCCCAGTTCCTGCCAGTCCAATTATCCCTTGATTTCTTTCTTAAGAATGCCAAAGGCTGTATTGATTCTTGCTTGCATTTAAAATATTTTTAATTCCATATAGGTCAGTGCTGGCGAACCTATGGCATGGGTGCCAGAGGCGGCATTCAGAGCCTTCTCTGTGGGCACGCGTACCATCGCCCCAGTCCTAGGCCTTCAGCTGGGTTTTATAAAACCTTTTCGCTTTAGGCCTCCGCCATTGTGTACAAAAAAAAAAAAAGGTTCAATCAGTCAATTTTAACTTCTCACAGGGGGAAAAAAATCTTGCAAAGTTGGAATTGATTGATTAAACTTTTTACTCCCACTCAGTCTGCCGTTATCACTGCAGCCACGCCCAGCTAATGGGCCACGCCCACCCGGCACCCGGCGATGCATAAGTGGGTTTTGGGTTGCAGTTTGGGCACTCAGTCTCTAAAAGGTTCGCCATCACTGCACTATATTAACAGTTAATTAAAAGTTTTCAGCATAAAATTATTTTTCAGTTTTACACTGTCCGCCTTGCCCTGGTCCTCACTTGAGAGAATGGAGTCAAATCCCTCAGCTTCTTTTAAAAAGTTATTACAGATAACACTTTAGACTACAAAACAACAACTTAAAATTATATAAAGCCATTTTTTAATACCCAATGATAGTATTAGTTTGCATTGGGGGAACCTTCACAAATAGGTTTTCCAGCATTATGGACTTCTCAAAGGAGTTAGATTTTTGCCTTGATTGTTCACATGTAATCAACTCATTTTCAACTCCTACCTGAGGTAAGACAAGCAATGGCTGGAAGTTTGTCAGGAAAATCCAACGTGGAACTAAGGAGGAATTTCCTGACAGTGGGAACAATTAATGCACGGGTGTCAAACTCGATTGCATCACGTGATGTATCGTGACATATTGCAATGTTTTTTGCCTTTGCGGAGCTGGGGTGGGTGTAGCCTGTGTGTGACACCCTGAATGAAACAGCTTGCTTCCCTGAACCATGGGTATGCCAACATGAAGTTTTAAAGAAAAAATTGGACTAATATTTATCCAGGATGGCATAAGGATTCCTGCCTTGGGCAGGGAATTAGATAAGCTCCCTTTCAATCCTGATTCCAAAATCAACCCTCTTCATGAACTACCTATATCAGTGATGGCAAACCTTTTAGAAACTGAGTGCCCAAACTGCAACCCAAACCCCACTTATTGCCGGGTGCCAGGTGGGCGTGGCCCACCAGGTGGGCGTGGCTGGTGGTCATAGCAGATTGGGTGGTGTGGCTAAGGTGGGCATGATCACCTCGATGTTGCTGGTGGGGAGGGACGCCTGTGGGGGCCGGGCAGGGTTGGGGGAGATCCAGAGGGTCTCTGGCAGTTGGGGTGGTGGGCAAAAGGCTTGTCCTGCGGGGTGAAGCGAGGTGAGGCAGGGCGGGGGTGCCATTGTCACAGGGCAAGGTGAGGCAGGGGCCAGGGCGGCTGCTGCCTGACACCATTGGCCCCTGCACACAGGCCAGGAGCGCATGGTTGCTGGGATGCATCTGGCCATGTAGGACCTCGGTGAGGTAGCGGGTGGCTGGTTG